GAATGCTGCGCACTCCGTGCTTCTCGCGGAGCTCCTTACTCAAAGGCGCCTGAAGGTTGTTAGAACATGTCTCCTGCAATGTTCCAAGTCTCTTCATACGCTCATGATGACCCGACGCACACTACTCGGCGCACTGAAGTGTGCCTTTCGCGATTTGCGGCGAGAGCTCGCGACCATTGACTGGACCTTGGTCATTTTTGCTGTGGAATTGGCGGGTTGTCGGGTTAGTAGACAAAGTTCGTGTCGCGATCGCAAAAATTGGAGTTGTGAGATGTGCCTTTGCTGGGGCGGGTTCGCTTCGCTAGCGTGGTCGGAAGAAGTGTTTTGCCGATTCCGAAAGGTCCGGCCAGGAAGTCGCGTCCGCATCGTGGACCGCATTCGCCGAGACGTCATGCAGGACGCGTCGCTAAAACTGATTTCTCGAACGACGGCGCATATGTTGCGCGCAGTCGTCTAGTCGGTGTATAAGATTTCAGAGTGTTGAACTATCACCATCTATACCCAACCAAGACCCCGCGCCCAAGACATCTCCCGCTCCTTCACGCGAACCACAGTCTCCATGCAGTTGTCCAACCCCACCCGTGTAAAGGCTGCAGAAAGGCCTCCAGGCTTTTAGCAGACGCCAACATGTCCTCGAACAACTACAAGCCGTACAGCCACTCGTATCAACAAAGTTCGGCGCAACAATACGCAGCATATCATACAGCATCTGCCGCGAACAATATCGCGCAACCCGCCCACCAGTACAAACAGCCACCGACGACTCAGGCACAGGACTATATGTCCTATGAGCCTCAATCGTATGCGAATCACAATAGTGGATACGGCACGGCACAAGATAACCAATGGGGTAATAGCAACTATGGAGGGACACGAGAGACAACTAGAGGCGCCGCCGAAGTCCTGCGTAGTATGAGTAACTCGACGCCGTATACGAATAACGCTGCGCCTACGAACGCCCAACCCGGAACCACCGCGATCAACACCGCCTCCTCGCACACCAGCCGCTATGCCGCCGGCAGCTCGCACTCGCCCCTAGTGCAGGCGCAACAACCCCATGCCGTCTACGAGCAATCGCAAGCGCGACCACACAGTGTCAACAACAACCGCGCGCAGCCAGCAACTCGGGGTTTACCATCACCAGCCAATGTGGCAGGTTACCCTTCGCAGAGAACCCAAACGATATATAATTCGCAACAACAGCGAACTGCCAGCCCAGCCCAACCTCAGTACAACACCGCGCCTGTTAGTAATACGCGAAGCGCGGGTATGTCTGCTACAACGAGCCAACAGTATGACGACTACAGCGCTCGACAACCTGCCGGTGTGGAAACCTCGCGTAACTCTCAGAACGCCACACTATCGACGGCTTATAACTACGGCAAGGCGCAAATGCCTTCCGCGATTGCGCCTCCTGCGCCTGCACTGTCTGCTAGCATGGCAGACACTCACAGTGTCCAGGGCACTACCACAGTGGACCCAATGGCAGTTTACGATCCATGGCCAGAATACCAGCGGAAGCAGGCCGCACAAAAGGTGATTGAAGATGCAGCACGTGCAGAAGAAGAGAAGATTGCGGAGGAGGCGTGTCAAGTAGAGGAGCAAAAGAAAGAGGAGGCCAGATTACGCCAGTCACAGCCAAAGTCGAAAGGAAAGAAAGCCCAAGAGCAGCAAGCGGGTGCTCCGGAAGCGGCACCTGCGACGTCTAGCGACTCCGGTGGCCCTGCTGAAGCACTGGAGAGTGAGATTCGAGCAATGATGGCTAAGATGAGAGAGCTGAATAGTAAAGACCCAGCACTTCTAGCCAAAATCTGGGAAGAAGAACGTAGGGCGAGAGCGCCCAGATCTCCTACCGTGGACGATAGGCCCGCACCTCAATCTGCCACTCTGCAACCGGTACAAGTTTCTCAAGCCTCCGCTCCACAAGTCACGAACTCGAATAAAAAGGCGACACCCAAGCAAAAGGTGAATGCGAGTATCTCAAAGCCAGCGACTCCTGCCATAGCTCAAGCTGTCCCTATCAAACAAGTACAGCCAAACAGCAGTATCACTCGACCAACTGGCAACACGGTCTGGCCGCCTGAGAAGAAGGCTCATCTGGCGAGCGCAGCAGCGGCATATCTCAACACTCTGAATGTCGCCCACCAAGTCGAACCTGGCCAGATATTGAGTCTATTGAACAGCAACCCTTCTTACATCGAACTATGCGAACAACTAGAGAAGATGGGTTTGAAGCTAGACCGCGCTGTCTTCGCGAAGAGCTTACTTACAGCGGTACCAGATGTGAATTCAGTATCCCGCAAATCTGCACAGCCTGCACCAGTTCCTGTCCAGAGACCACCGGTCCCACCTGCCGTCATGAAGAAGGACGTTGCGACTTCTGTCGCGCCAAGCCCACAACACGCACCCGCAGCTCCCTCACCAGCGAATGGAAGCTCTCACCCGTCTTTTCCAGGGAGCGCGTCGCCTGCACCTGCACCTGCACCTGTCGCGGAGATGGTGCCAATCAGATCCGAGCTAAGGAAGCCAGCAAACAAAGAAGAAGCAGCACGAAAGCGTAATCTGAGTGATCTGGTCGACCTGACTCAGTTATCAGAAGACGAGGACATGGGGCCGCCGCAAAAGAGGATAAACTCAGATGCATACGCATCTCCATACCCTCGTCTCCAAGACACTATGGCCGTCGACGAGGTGCCTTCTACACCAAACTTTCCCATCGCAAATACTCCTTCCTATCAGCCTCAATCACCTGCACCCCAGCCAATGCAGACTTCTACCGAACAACTTCGTTATGTGACTCTTGTTGAGCCATTAGACAGAAAGAAAGCGCTTCGTCGCAACACTTACAACCCTGCCACAATAGCACGAGACGTGCTTCTCGCTTGTGGAAGGCATCCGTTAGAGCGCAGCTTGAATCAACATCTAGATGGTTTGAGGACTACGTTACCACAAATAGGGTTCGATTCAGATCTCAGTACAATCAAATGGGACGTCATCGACCCAGGAAGACCTCCGCCAGGATATTTCAAAGACGGTGTTCAAGCCTTGACCGAGGATGCTGACGATGAAGAGGATGCTTCAGACGACGAGGACGAGTCGCGCACCCGCGCTCCGCCTAACGCCATTGGCGGTGAAGGTGGGGCGCACAAGGCCCAAGCTTTACCTGAAGCTATCAATCCGTTTAAGCAGAAGCGCCGCGGTCGTCCTCCACGACACTCTTTTCCTGACGGTGCACCAGCAACACCCAAACGCCCAAGCAGTCCCGCTTCTATGAGTTCAAGTGTGCCTCGTCCCACCTCTGGTGCCGCTGGCGTTGGGTATCAAGCTTTCCGGTCAGCCACAGAGTATGGACTTGATGGCAAACCACTGCCAAAAAAGAAGGGCCGTCCAGTTGGATGGCGGAAAGCCATTCATGGCTCTCCTGCTGCGCAAGCTCAACCGTCAACGAATGGTCATACCGGTCCTCGCAAGAAGCAACCGACGCAGCCAAGCGCTCTGCGCAACGAACCAATTCAGATTAGTTCAAGATCACCAAGTGTTGCGAACGGTCTTCCACGATACCAGTCGTATAAATGCAAGTGGCAAAATTGCCAGGCTGATCTACATAATTTAGAGACGCTTCAGAAGCATATTTATAAGGTACATCGCAAGGAGACAGTTAACAATACTTTGGAATGCTTGTGGGACGATTGCGGAAAAGAGGTCACCAACTACGATCATATGACGAACATGAGCATTGAACGCTATCAGCCGCATTCCTTCGACCTAGAGAGCAACTGGCGTGATCATATACAGCAAGCCCACATTAGTCCGCTATCGTGGCAGCTTGGTGATGGGCCGGCCGCTGGTCTCTCTGGTAAGGAAGATAGTTAGCGGCGTGAAATGGTTGTGACTGAAGAGAAGATCTACTCTAACACTCTTAATTGCAGACTCGCACGATTCTGAGGCATATCTCAGCGATGCACAAGGACGACAGGTCACCCCACGCATCACTGTCGACCCCGCACGCATAGAAGCACTGAGCATGTTGCCACAAGCACCTATAGCTAGCGGTCGCGGTCGCGGACGTCCACCCAAGCGTACAGTGGAGCAAGAAGCCCACGATGCATATGGTAGACTCGTGTCTCTTAAGAGGCGTATTGGTGGACCCGGGATGGATCGTGGAGGTGTAACACTCGCGAACGATAAGCGTCGACGAGGCTTTATTGAAACCGATGAAATGGAGGAGGAGCTGGTAGATGTTGAGGACTGAGGGCTAAGAATTCGATGTGAGGCTCATCTTGCTTGCGCATTTGATAATTCTGTACAAGTACGCGTATACCCATGGTAAGAACAAGGCGCAAAGGGGTGGTCGGAAATGTTTCTCCATGCCCAGATATGCCATAGTTTAGTTAATTCAAACATTTTGAAATCCGTCAGCGGTTAGTTCGCCATATTGCGTACGCCAGAACTCCATGCTCCCATTTGACGGGCATCTCCCTGATTCGCAATTGATATCCTTGGTCCCTCACACAGCCCGTTCCCATGCAACAACATTCTTGCCCAAGTGTCCTTCAGTAAGACGTATACATAGCACAACTCTTACGCCTTGACCTTGCCAGCCGCAGCCTTAGGCTTCTCCTCAACCTTGTGATCGTCTGAGTTGACCTCGAGGAAATGGTATAGAACGATGAGCAGCATAGCAGCGCTTCCGAGGAAGATCGCGAGCGAGTAAAGTTGGCTGTCGGTAATCATCTTGAGTGTGACGGCGCGTCAGTTGTAGCTAGGTAATAGGGTGTGATGCTTCGAGTGCGCTGCGGAGTTGTTAGTAAATCCAATTGACGAGACGAAATTGCCAAGAGCTTACGGAAGCTAGATGCGACAGAGGAAGTCAAAAGACGGGAGTGTCGCGACGGTATTGGATGCGCAGTGATTGACTATTGGGGTGCATGTGAAGGCCACCTTGAAGCTTCGGGAATGTCGGCGAAGGTAGGGCTGGCTCTAGCGCAACATGCTCCGCCACTCGAAATTCCACCCCACACAGCGTCATTCTCACTTTGACACACACAGCGCAGGTACCATATCCCCCGCCAGGCACCCAAATTCGACCATCCAGGGCGCCCGGATTGTTTGAACACCCCAAAACGCACTCCCCACTGTCATTTCAACACCGCCCATATACACTAAGCCAAGATGCCACCCAAAGGCAAGGGCGAGCAGCCCAAGGTGAAGAAGGTCGCCGTAGACAAGACCTTTGGTATGAAAAACAAGAAGGGAGGAGCCGCCCAGAAACAGATTGCCCAGCTCAAAGCGACCACTGCATCGGGAGGCACGCCTGACGAGAAGCGCAAGGCGGCAGAGAAGGCGCAGCGTGAGAAGGACAAGGCGGCGGCAGAGGCAGCCCGCAAGGAAACCGCCGAACTCTTCAAGCCCGTACAAATCCAAAAGGTGCCTTTCGGAACCGACCCCAAGACTGTCTTGTGCCAGTTTTTCAAGAAAGGAAACTGCGAAAAGGGCAAGAAGTGCAAGTTTAGCCATGATCTGAATATCGAGCGCAAGACCGAGAAGAGGAGTTTGTACACCGACACCAGAGATGAAGACAAGGAGGCCGAGGAGGAGCGGCGGAAGAAGGATAACATGGATGATTGGGATGAAGACAAGCTGCGACAGGTCGTTCTAAGCAAGCACGGCAACCCGAAGACGACGACGGATAAAGTGTGCAAGTACTTCATCCAAGCTATCGAGGATCAGAAGTATGGTTGGTTCTGGGTGTGTCCCAACGGAGGTAAGCTTGAACAACAAAATGCATTCGAAATATACGCTGACTTGGATTCTAGGCGACAAGTGCATGTACAAGCACTCTCTACCACCTGGGTACGTGTTTTTGCTTCTTTCGCCACACAGCATGTGCACATCTGTACTAACACTTTTCTAGTTTCGTCATCAAGACCAAGGAACAGCGCGCCGCCGAGAAGGCCTTGATGGCCAACTCCCCGCTCAACACCCTCACCCTCGAAGACTTCCTCGAGTCCGAACGCCACAAGCTCACCGGCAATCTCACACCGGTCACGCCCGAGACATTCGCCAAATGGAAGAAAGAACGTATCGACAAGAAACAAGCCGAGGAAGAGGCCAAGAAACTCAAGGATGCCACTGGTCGTGCTATGTTCGAAAAGGGCGACTGGGCACAAGACAGCGATGCGGATAGTGATGATGAGGACGATGGAGACGCGTGGAATTTGGAGACTATGAGGAAGGAGACTGAGGCGGCGAGGGCAAAGAAGGAAGAGGAGAGGATGGCTGCTCAACTTGAGAAAATGGTTGTATCTTGAGGGATGCACTTCTATCTCGGAACGAAGACTATTGGAGAGAGAGCGATAAGGCGGGAAGAGCTCGCTGGCTGCCACACAATGCTGCAACAGCTTGCGGGGCATTGCCGGGACCCGGCTTCGATTGAAGCATGTGGAGGCAAAAGATTGACTTGAGCGATCGTCGCATCATGAGCATGTTTGGCCGTGTCTGGGCTTCAGCGTTTATGCGGCATGGCTTGGAACACATGCAGAGCTTAGTCGGCTTTGTGTGTCTGGCGCTGGCGTCTGGGTTCTGGTATTATTACATATATATACATACATGGCTGTACGAATACACGGCTAAGTTCGCCTGGGCAAGTCGTAAGCGACTTGCGCTGTGGTAGTGACTTCAAGGAATGCATTCGATTGATCTTGACTTGAGATGATGGTAAAACCGAACAGATGTGTTCATATCTGGACAAGCTCGTCCACTTGGTGATGTTTCGGTGCAGAGTGAATCTGAAGACATAGGCAAATCAAGACTTGCATTGCATGTTGATGCTGACCACGCCCAACCTTACGGTATATTTTGGTAACTTGACGGCGCATTTCAGATATTCGACGGAAAAATTTTGTGGTTTCGCGGTGTATTTCAGTATCCAGTCTTGCATCATGTTCCATCAATAGTAACATAATTTCAGAAGGAGCTAAGACGTCTTGCGCCTACATCGAGGACAAAGACTACCCGGAAAGCATCTTCGGTAATCGCAAGCGTACTCTTCTTACACATGTTGTCTTATCTTTAATTCAGATCTCCATTCGGACCTACTACCGCCATGCTCATTGGCAGCTCACAACACCTCGTACGAAAGCCAGAAAGAAGCAAGAATCCTGCTGACGACCAAAACCTCTACGGGAGAAGATGCGGTAAATTTACTCGGAAAGTGGAGTCTTTCACGATGCACACAATCATCGCAGGATCACTCCAAGGATGGCTGCTCCGAGTTTGGCGCGCGTCCATTGATTGCCACTAACCCCCATGTAGCCACGCTTGACCCGGACAAGGAAAGGCGCTGTTGTCGTCTTGGCACCAAAATGCCGCGCTGCAGTTCCGCCTACGCCTGGTCACACTCCCCGCAACATGACGGCATGCTTGTTCGGCCACGCTAGAAGCATGTACCAGTCCCCAGGCCCTGGGCCTCTCTCGCATCCGATTTCGTTGCCGGCGCGCACTACACTCCCGAGTTGTCTTGCCATGACTACACGCGGCCGTATGGTGGCCGACACTAGCCTTGGTCCGTGACTGATGGCGTCGTCAATTGATCGTCTCTTAAAGAGTCGGCTGGGGTCGTTGTTTTTAGTGGTTTGATTAATATACTTCATAACTTTTAAACACACTTCTAGCCTTGCTTTCCTATACAACAGAGGTATACCAATATCTCGGTGCAGCTGAGAGCGAAGGTATTCCTTGACATCGATCATCGAGTGTGGGGCCCTTTCCGTATTCCCGGATTCGCTCCCGTCTCATCTATATCCTGCTTGAGAATCCCACTGGATTGAAGTAATAGCAATGGCGGTGGAAAACTACGACGTCGTTATCGTTGGCGCAGGACCTGTTGGCCTTTGTCTTTCAACGTGCCTGGCGAGATGGGGTTACAAGATCAAGCATATCGACAATCGACCGGAACCGACCGCCACTGGACGGGCGGACGGAATCCAGCCGCGTTCCTTGGATCTACTCCGGAATATGGGCCTCAAGCGCAAGATTATGGAGTACGAACCTGCAAAGGTTTACGAGGTGGCTTTTTGGGACCCGGCGCAGAAGGGCATTCACAGGACAGGTACTTGGGCTAGTTGTCCCAAGTTCATCGATGCACGGTACCCTTTTACTACGCTTCTCCACCAGGGCTTGATTGAGCGGACGTTCATTTCGGATATTGAGAAGAACGGCAGTGGTATCCAGAGACCCTGGACGATCAAGGGGTTCAAGAATGATGGCAAGGATCCGACATATCCTGTTGAGGTCAACCTGGCGCATGTTGATGGCACAATGGAGGAGACTGTACGCGCAAAGTACTTGTTCAGTGGTGAGGGAGCAAGGAGTTTTGTAAGGGACCAGCTGGGTGTCAAGATGATCTACAAAGATCCTATTGCACATGTTTGGGGTGTCATGGATGGAGTTGTCAGAACGAACTTTCCAGACATCAAGGTATGTTTGATTCACTAATCTGTTTTTCTACTGAATACTGATCTCAGTGCAGATGAAATGCACAATCCACTCAGACAACGGCTCCATTATGATCATCCCACGCGAGAACAACATGGTCCGCTTGTACATTCAAGTCGCATCTTCTACAGATAAAGACTGGGACCCACGGAAGCAGGCTACTGCAGAAGACGTTCAAGCGCGTGCCAAAAAGATTTTCGAACCATACACCATCTCCTGGGATCGCGTGGAATGGTACTCGGTCTATCCGATTGGACAAGGTATTGCTGAGCGCTACACACTCGACGAGCGGGTCTTCATGGGTGGTGATGCCTGCCATACCCACAGCCCCAAGGCTGGCCAGGGTATGAACACAGCCTTCTTAGATGCAGTAAACTTTGCATGGAAAATTCACCACGTAGAGAGCGGCTGGGCACCACGATCCCTTCTGTCGACATACGAATCCGAACGCAAACTCATTGCTGAGACTCTCCTCGACTTTGACGCCCGATACGCAAAGCTCTTCTCCGCCCGGATACCCTCAGCTGGTGAAGTCGCTGGTGCATCAGCAAAAGAAGCCGCCGAAGACAATGAGTTCATCAAGACATTCAAAGCCAGCTGCGAATTCACCAGTGGTTATGGCGTAGCATATAAACCCAACATGGTAAACTGGGGCCCAGAACACCCCGCACAGCACCCCCTCATCCTGTCGTACGAAAAGGGCACAACCCAACGAACAGGCAGAATCATGACACCGGCAACCGTCACACGTGTCGTAGACGCCAACGTCGTACATCTGGAACAAGAAATTCCCATGAACGGCTCCTATCGCATGTTCATCTTCGGCGGTGCCTTGGACAAGAGCGCAACAGCACTCAAAGACCTAGCAACACAGATGTCATCCCCAACATCCTTCTTCAGCACGTTCCTCCACCGCGACCTCAAGGAGAAGGATCGCTACCACGAAAAACACAACCCACATACCGATTTCCTTTCTCTGGCTCTTGTCTTTTCGCAGCCCCGCTCAAGTATTCACATCGATGAGCAGTTGCCTCAGCCATTTAACCGCTATGCTGACCATGTTTATGCGGACGACGTCTGGGACCAGAGGGTGCCGGATGCGAAGGCTGCGGCACATGCTAAGATGGGGCTTGACGAGGAGAGGGGAGGCGTCGTTGTTGTCAGGCCGGACGGGTATGTCGGTGTTGTCGTTAAGCTGGAGGAAGGGAAGGGGACGTGTGATGCATTGGATGCGTGGTTCTCGGGGGTTACAGGGAAGAAACTTGGGGGTGAGCGGGCGAGTCTATAGACCGAGCGTTTTCCAGTCATGAAGACACTTTTGGGACTTGCATAGCGTTGCTTTAATTTCTCTACATAAATGTATGAATCCGTTCAATCGGAAACCAATTCATGGTATTTGACAATATCTTCGGAGCGCTCCTGCCCAATGAATGAAGTGACCTCATCGTGCACGGACGTATCGCGAAGGAAGGCGCGTCGTTTGAAAGCTAAACCAGAAACTCTCATCAATGTTCGTCTCTGGCTAGGCACAGACTTGCTTACAGCTCAGGATTTGCGCCGCCATATATCTCAGTCTAATTCTATCAGCGCCTAACGCGACTCGTTCTGAGACACCCAATGCCTAGGTAGGGAAAAGGCCGTGCAATTCCTTGGATAAAGGATGTAAGAACTAAGAAGCATTGGTACGCCCACCGATGATGACGCGCCGTTGCGGGGATTGCTTATTGGCTCAGAGCGATGCGACAACAAGTCTACGCTCACACCGGCAGCAAGGCTGAACTTTAGGATGCAGTAGCTTTCTTGAAGAGATTGCCTGAGCGGGTCTCTATGGAGTAAGATAGTGCGGCCAATATCCTGGAGGCCTAATTGCCAACGCGATGTGCTACCTGTGGACGTAAGCTGACAACAAGAGGCGTACAAGTGTACATGATCTTGAACACCCTCCCCCTCCTCAAGTCGTTTTCTTTTCACATGAGCCGGTTGCTATCGAGCTCTCAGTAAAAAGATCATGGCGCAAAGGTCATTGTACGTTGCAGGCCTTGTGCCACTACTATTTGCGGTGTTCTACTTCCAACTCGGCAACCTCTCAAACTTTTACAACTATGCTCTTCAAGCGTTGCAGACACCGTCCGCAAGTGTTACGCGTCAAGCTCCAACGACCGGAAAACCACCCATCATCATGGCGGCAACCCCCGCCTTCAGCCACATGGAAAAGATCACGACGATCACCGAAGGTCTCATTTCACTCGGCTACCCCGTAAACTTCATCACTGGGCCAGACTTCAAAGACACTATTGAAGCAATGGGCGCAACATATATCCCCATCGAAGGTCAGGGAAACTTCATCCTGTCCGACGAAGACCTAGCAACATTCGTCAGTCTGCAAGGCAACGAGCTCGAAGTCTTTGCTACGACAGCTATCTTCATCAAGACCATTCCTAGACATTACCGCACACTGCAACGAACCTTCCAAGAGTTCCGTGACCAATACGGCGAGAAAGAGAAGATGATTTACATCTTCGACTTCACGTTCGGTGGCTCATACCCTGTCGCCTACGGCGCACCTGGCATTCGTCCTGACGCAGCGATTGCTATAGGTCTGGCGCCATATGTGGCGGCTAGTAACGATACGTTCCCTTTTCGTTCGGGAAAGCACCCAGATACAAGTCCAGAGAGTAAGAGGATCCATTTTGAAGCGCAACAGGCCCAGAACAGGGATCATCCTATCGATACTCCTGTCAATGAGGCTGCTAATGCCATGCTCCGGCAGATGAATGCGACGAGAGATGTGCCAGGCTTTAACGAGATGGCGAGTTCTGGGTCAGATATATTTCTTCAATACGGCGTTCCGGCCTTCGAATATGAACGCAGTGACTGGCGACCGAACCTTAAGTTCATGGGTGCACCCGTATCCGTGGGGATCGCAGACCACACGCTCCCGGAGTGGTGGAACGATGTGCTTGAAGCAAAGGCAGCTGGAAAGAAGATTGTTGCTGTGTCTTCCAGCAGTGTGGTCTTCGATACGAGTGCGCTTATCAAACCAGCTTTGGAAGCATTCGGTGGTAGAGATGATGTGTTCGTCATTGCTACGTTGGTTACGTCGGATGTCGAAACGCTTGACTTCGAGATCCCAGAGAATGCTAGAGTTGCAAAGTTCATTCCTCTGGACCTGGCTCTGCCTTACGTATGTATACCTGTGGCAAAAGTGGGGCTCGCGTTCATTGTTGCTAACATCAAACAAGGTAACTGTGCTAGTTACGAATGGCGGATACGGCACTGTTCAACAATCACTCCGTGCTGGTGTGCCTATGATTATCTCTGGAATTGGACAGGACAAATTGCATACCGGAGCTCTCATTAACTACAAAGGCTTTGGCATATACAATGCTTTACCTCAGGTGACTGCCGAACTCCTGACTGAGTCTTTCGATAAGATGATGGGTAATGCAACATATCAGTACGTTCTTTTTCCTCCTCTTGCTCCAAGGCCGGACGACAAGCTATAAAGCTAACAAACCATAGTGAGAGACTTGGTGCCGTTAAAAAGGACTACGCGAAATACAATGCGGTGGAAATTGTGGATGAGACGATCAAACAGGTACTCAAGGGTGAAGTGGCCATCTAGCTATGAATGCTGGGTCTAGCGATGTACTAGCATCGGTTGTGGTATGTTCTCGAAGTCAGTCGTCCGGTAATCGAGTGTGGATACGGATAGCTTTATGGCGAATATTGTGATTAGACACCTCTTATGCACGACCACGTCGTATCGCAAATGCTCTATCTCACCGTTTCACTCATCTATGTATCCTTCAATTCTGCAGCCTCGCCAAAAAGATCTACATTGAGCTAGGATGAATCGCTTGCCACACGTTTCGTACATTCAGTGTCACGGGTATCATCGGCCTCAGACATGTGGTCTCTCGCTCGTGATTGGGTCAGATAGGCATCGTGATAGTGACGATGAAGGTCAACATGTGGTGTACTCGAGCTCCGACAAATGTGTCAACGTTGATGCGTTGAATAACACATGAAAGAAGCTGGGTGCTCTGGGAACGTATTGCTAGTAGAGACGGCGATACGGCTGCTGTAGGAGGTAGAATGTTACCGTTGTTGCTGGTTACGAAGCCCCTAACTGCATTCAATATCCAATTTTCTTGCTCACGAAGGAGAGATTGGAAAGCCAAAAATGAAGACGTCCACTGCCGTAGCACTCTCACTGTACGAACTTTCTGCTGAAGCAGGACAGTCTAAAAAAAGCGTCGTCATCACCAGCAGTGTGTCACACCCATCGCCTGCAACCAGAAGGCAAAAACAATGTCCCCTGCCAGACTCGAACTGGCGGCCTTGGGATATCTACTATAATAGTAGTCATATGTGATGATATGAGACCCACGTGATAACCAACTACACCAAGGAGACGGGAAATCGCTACACCAAGCGATGATGAAGCTGATTGATGACTAATTTTCCGTAAAGAGAATACTTGAAGTTGAGGGATTCGGGGGGAATTGAGTTGGCGGTGTTCTCGGTCGAGCAAAATGTTTGCGGGTGGGTACTGGCCACGGTGTATCAGTCCGTTGGTCCGTTGTTTAGGTGTGGGTACTCGCTACGACGAGTTTGCTCCAGTCGGGAACAAGAACTCCTAGCATTCTACCAATGAAAAGACTGAAACTTAGAGCAAAGAACAAGTAGTCGTTCGCAGTGTTTCCAGTGGTTGAGTGGCCACTAGAACAATGCGCGTGAGCCTGTACATGGGTACAGTTTTGAAGTCCGCTCAGAAGTCCACTGTTTGGCCCCGTTTCATGCAGCAAAAAGCTACAACGTCGCTGGCAAGTCGTCCTAGACAACAGGAGCCCACGATGACAAAAAGAATGGTCACTACGAGGGTCGAACTCGCGACCTTGGCGTTATTAGCACCACGCTCTAACCAACTGAGCTAAGCGACCGATGTTTGGTTGTTTTCGATGGAAGAAGGCCAAGTTGGACGACTCATCAAGAGAAAAGTAATGAGCATTGTTTCAGGTCGCGAACTGCTCATGGCATGTCTTGCTGAGCTTGTTAGCCTTGGACGAGAGAAGTATGGCGGGGTGAAAATTCTGGTTCGGACTTCTCGGACGGATCATGGTGGGGCAGCGGCAAGTCTGCAAGATTCGGAAGTAGACCTGGTCAGTCTGACATAATCGTGGCGCTCACATTTGCTAGTCGAGGTAGATATGATGTACTCATACTTTGACAGAGTGGAAGAAGTTGTGTTCAAGTAAGGGGCTCGATTGTCGAGCCATGGGTATCTCAGATTGTAAACCAAGCCAACGCCAGCGCTATGCAAATGTAAATCTCGGCTATGGCGCGCAGTCGCAATGTGGTTAAGAATGTTAAACAGGGCCTTCTGACGGATGTCGTGCCTGATAGTCGCCCGCTTGTAGCTTGAAGGGAGAGCGTCGACAGATGGCGCTGGGGCGCAGTGCCGCAAACTCGCTTCTGGACCTCCTGAACAAGTCAAGAGCAAATGCCACATGTTAATCATTAGTCGTCAGTCATCGTTGTCAGCCGCCTAGCTGTCCCAAATACTTCTCAACCTCGTCGTTGCCGTAGAACATCCTTTGCAGCTTGTCGTCTCTCTTCTTCTGGACTTGTGCCAGTTTCCTCACCTTGCCAGCGTCGAGCCTGCCTTCTCTGACGTCTGCGCGGCTTGCGCCACCCAATGCCTTTCTTTGGGTGTGCTCTTTCTTGTCTATTCCCAAGCCTAGCTTGTCTCGCTTCTCCTTGGGTACCAGCGGAAAGAGCATGCCCTGGCCACTGGTGCCCAAGCCTTGCCGTGCATCGACATCGTAGCCGTGCTTCTCCATATACTTGAGTCCCATTCTCGTTCGATCAATTGCGGAGGGTATGGGCGCTCGTGGTAGTGCGGCTTGGTGTGCAGGGCTCAGGTAGTGTATTCGCTGGTCCGTCTCTTTGACAGGCTCACCACATATGCCGCATCGAGGAAAGGCTTCGGGTTCCGGCTGTGGCTGGCCGTTCGGGAACATTATCGCGAGGTACTTCTCCGCCATAGTCTTGCCGTTTGTGGATGTCGTCGTTGGTTGAACTTCTGGGGCTGAAGACACGAACTTGATTGGATTCTTCCAGAGGCCACGTCCAAAAGCGCGTTGTTCGACAAAAGGCTTTGTTGAGACATTGGGGTCCTCATCTTGAAGCTCGTCCTCGTGGAGCTCATCCGCAGTTGTTGGTGTTGCAGCAGGAGCGGTCATGGTGACGCGTCTGGCAAAGAGAAGCCGTCGTAAGTTTGAGGTTTTCCGGTGGTGAAAGGAACGACGCCGCCATGCAAAGAAGTTGCGGTGAAGAGTGAAATCTGGGTGGTGAAGCCAGGCGGCAATCTTCGACGCGCAATCACATGCTATGACGCCACGTGGATCCCTCCCCTTAGCGAGCCACCATCGACCCGCGTTCCTGCACATCTTCCGCTTCCCGTCACGCCGTCTCACCAACAACCAAAATGCCGGTTAACATTCTCGCTACGGCCTTTGACCAGGGTCTTGACTCCATTCCGTACGGCTGGACCGTCCTGAAGTTCGTTTCTGTTTGTACAGTCCTGTATGTCTTGAAATGGTACTTCAATGGCGCGGTCAACGGATCGGAGAGGAATATGCATTCCAAGGTGGTTATGGTAACGGTAAGCTTTTGCTTCATAGAGGCACAAGACAAGTGTGCTGACAATCAGACAGGGAGGAACATCTGGCATAGGCGCTGAAGTGGTCAGGGAGCTGGCAACTCGTGGTGCACAGATCGTTCTCCTGGTTCGACAACCACTCGTCGACCCCTTCTTCGTCGACTACATCGAAGACCTCCGAACCCAAACCGGCAATGAGCTTATCACCGCCGAGCACGTTGACCTTGAGAATCTACACAGCATACGCCAGTTTGCAACTAAGTGGGTGGACAACGCACCGCCGCGACGCTTAGACACAATCATCCTCTGCGCGAACACAATGACACCATCAGGAGGGAAACCAACGCAGACGGAAGATGGGCTGGAGTCGACTTGGGGACTCAACTACATGGCCAACTTCCACTTGTTGAGTATACTCAGTCCCGCACTTCGAGCTCAACCTCCTGACCGAGACGTCCGCATCATCTTCGGTACATGTCCGGCATACGTGGGAGGAAAGCTGCCAGGTGCTGATGCAAACTCGAAGAAAGACGGAAAGAGCGATCCTGGACAGCTTGACTTTACCCCGTCCACCGTATACGCAACCTCCAAACTCGCCCTCATGACCTTCGCCGTAGCCTTCCAGAAGCATCTCACAAACTATGTCCGACCCGACAAGAAGCCCATGAACGCACGTGTTATCATGGTCGATCCGGGCTGGACACGAACACCAGGTATGCGACGATACCTCACTTTTGGCTCGCTGTGGGGGCTGGCGATATACCTCTTTACGTGGCCGCTGTGGTGGCTCGTACTGAAGAGCCCCGACCAAGGTGCACAAACCTTCTTGTACGCGGCTATGGAGGCACAATGGGGTCGGGGAGAAGGAGCATACTTCCTCAAAGAATGTAGGAGATCCATCTGGACAAGGAAAGAGATCGATGATGAACAGCTGCAGAAGAAGCTATGGGAGAGCAGCGAGAAGACCATCGAGATCCTTGAGAAAGAGAGCGCGAAGAGAAGGGCGGCGGAAAAGAAGCAGAAGGAGAAGTCCGAGGGCAAGACCACTGCGAAGGAGACTAATGGAGAGGCCAAACAACGAAAGTAGGGGCCAGCAGCATCGTGTTCGTCAGGCTCTAGACGCCGTTAAAGCCGTGCAATACAACAACCCTGACGCTGTCGTGTGATGTCCAACAAGATCTCAGAGGGGCCATTTGGAACCCACTAGAAATAGTGCGATTCCATGGTACCGTCCAAGTTTGCTCATAAACAGCAGGGCAATCCGTGGTGGTATATCTTGAACACCCCTGTCAACGAAGACTGGCAACTACATCCAGCCATGTCCAGTCTTAAAAAGTTCTTTCCTGACCGTCCACACCTTCCACACGAGATAGTGCTCCGCATCGTCACCGATCCATGCCTTGAATACTGCGACTTGTTCCGCCTCTCCTGTGTGAACAGAGACTGGCGTTCCTTAATCTCTAATACCCCAGAAACCCAGGCGTTGATGTTCCTGCCAAGCAGCAGGAATGCGCCCACCCCACCATCCTCACTTCAGTCAGACCCAGTGATAGTCATCGATCAGCCTTATCTCCCGCGTGAATGGGAAGCCAAGCCTCAGAAGTCTGGTCGGTCGGTTCCAAGAGTCCATCTGTCAAATTGGAGAGGCGATCCATGGGATCGTGTGGAGCTACACCCATGGCTCAAAGAGTTCCTCGTCCGTCCCATTATCCGTTTCGAATCAAATCAAAGACTCCCAGATCAATTGAGTGTCAGCTACCAGCTGCTGAACCACTGTTACAAAGAATGCTTCCAGAGACCTGGTGCAACATGGCGCAAAATGTTCGTCACCCAACCTCCACTCCAGCACTTGATTCTTAAAGTGAAAACTTACAGCTGCTGCGCTGAACCTTTGAGATGTAAACCATACTACCCTCAGTTTACATTGCAGAACCAGAAAGGGGTAACGTTCGGAGACGTCATTGACGCTATTGTGCAGACCCGGCTTCCACACAACGCCGGTCTCGTAGAGAATGATGGCAAATGTTTCGACTTTGTGACCATGTGCTATTGTTGGCATTACACTAGATTCGGAGAAGGTGCACATTGGCCGGCGACGATTCGAGCTAGAATGGAAAGGCAAAATGTGCTGGCTGGGAGACGTACAGGATAGAGTTCAGAAGAAGGGTACTTAAAGATACGTCTGTAAATACCTGCAACTAATTGCTTTGACACCACATCAGGAGACAGCTGCTTTCTGAGGCGTACGCAGTTACTACAGTCACTATACTGTCATATCAAATCTACCAAGTGAAAATACTATAGCGAGTCGGTTGAAGCTGGTGCTCCAGCCTGTATTCACCATCGGCAGCCTTCTACATACTAGCACACAATGCTCATCTATTCTCCTCCTCTTTTGTACTCAAACCTTTTTCCCTTCCTCTCTTTCTTTCTCTAGTCTCACTGCGACCGACATACGAGTTAGAGAACTCAGAACCATGCCATTTCCATCAAGTCTCCTACGACATGTATCAGTCATGAAGCCCTACACTCGCAGCGCGCAGCCTCGACGATTTAACACCATGTTCGACACTCCAATCGAATCTACTCCTATTCTACTGCCTCCGACGCCGACGGTGCCTATCATCAACCGCCTTCCACAACACATGCTTAGTAAGGTCGCGAGATCCAGTATGCGGCCAGTGTTGCTTGCTGGGATACTTGCCGTTGGGGCCGGTATGACTGTGATTGCGGAGTCGGATGTGCTGGCTATGTCGAACACTCCCAAAGGTGTAGCGTGGTTCGAGAAGAACAAAGATCGACTAACATTTACAAAACTTAGTAGGAAGATGATTTTGGAGAAAGAGAATGGGAAGTGGGGGGCTAGAGTTGAGCGAGACGAGAAGAAGTGAGCTCGCGACAGGATCCAGTAGGGCCTTAGTTATGACCGTCAGTGACGGTGGTTATCATACGTTCATGTTGGAGCAAATCTAGTCATGATGGCTTTTGAGTGTGCAGCTAAGGCACACAGTATCTATGTTTTGGTATCATCCTCCTTCACAGCATTAGCCGCCTCTGCAGTACTAGGCGCCTCTCCACTGCTTTTAGACTCCACCTTCATCCTAACAAACTCCTTCTTCATACTCTCAAACTCTTTGAACCCCTGGAAATATTTTCTTCGGAAGTCGTTCAACTCACTTGCCCTGGTGCCTTTCTCATACTCTTTCTTAGCCATCTCAAGCGCACCCTCAGGCACCTCCGAATCACGGCGCCGTCGATACGTCAGTAGTCTGCGTGACCACTTGTTGAAGGCTTGGACGCAGACTGATGTCAGTTCGAGACAGGGATGTGACGGTATAATCAGCTCGATGTCCTCGTCATTCGCAGTTGGCATCCACATGCTGATTCGACCATCTTCCACTAGCGTAGCGACTGCAAAGGCTAGTATGTCATCGAGCAGCGCGGTGAAGGAGTAAGGCCGCTTCGGGGGTATGTATCCGGGCTCCTTGAACTGGTCTTGGTGAGATTGCCTCTCGACGTCAAGAAGCGCTTGCCGGGATCCCAGAACCTTGAGTCCTTCTCGGATACCGTAAGGTGGGTCACAGACGATACCATCGAGATAGCCTGTCGTAATGCCTTTCTCAGGTGGCGGTATTCTCAGTGGTGTGTTTGTCAGATCAGAAACGAACGCGCCCAGATAACTCGACTCCATATCATACTGCTTGAAGTTGCCGACCACGTCATATTTTCCAGTCTGTCCCCTCCTTGCGCTTCCTCCAAGGCCGCGGATGGTGCGGCCGTCGATGTCACTTCCAAACACCACTGCTCCGAAGTGAGCGCATGCTATCGGGAAGCCGCCCGTGCCCATAAAAGGGTCGTAAAACAACTTCCCGGGTGACACGTGTGCGATATTAGCCGTCAACAGTGTAAGCTCGGCGTCCATGGATGTAGTGCTGATGTAATGCCTTTTCTTGAGATCAAACGTCTTCTTGGCTTCATTGCGACATGATTCGGCAATAAAGCGGCCAAAGTAAAGGTACTTTGGGGTTTTACAATTAAGATCGTAATCTTCGAAGACACGGAACGCGACATCTGGGTTTCGCATCTGTGGTGTCCCTTTGAAAGCCATGTACGAGAAGCTGTCAATGATGTCGCGCTGTTCATCATTCGATCTACTCCCTCGATAGCCTTCTATCGTAAAGCGGAAAGATGCGGTAATGTACTGGGGCCACCAGGACGTGGTCAGACTGCGGACGGAGTCGTGAAGGGCGTCGTATGTTGATCCTTGGCCCCATAGCTCGTATATGCCCTGTGCTAGGATGCTCCGTGCGATGACTCTTCGTGCCGCAGCGTCTGACGGCAGATCGACAATGCAGTAGGGTGACTTTGTTCGTCAGAAATGTATGCTTTTGGACAGCGTGACGCGACACTGGCTTTTCTTTTTCCGAGACGTGACCAAAACAAACAGTGGAGAAGACATGACGGACGAAGGCGAGGAAGGAGGAATGCGTGATAAGGAACGTGAACTTACATCTTCTTCATATTTTACAAACTGTAGAGGCACTCCTGCAATATCGGCTAGCGCTTGCAGTTCGACTTTCCGGAAAGTCTCGTGTGCTTGCGCAAGCCTTACGAGATACTGAGGCATGTTGTTGTTTGATAATGAAAATTTGAGGCTAGCGGAACCCTTCTGTGTAAGACGCGTCTCAGTCAGGTATCGGCATGACAGGCGTCGATCATCACTCAGTCGTCGCTTTTATCGCTGGTAGTCCAAAGCGGAGGAGTCACGGACCAGGAAAATGGGGCAGAAAATGGTGGGTCAGGGTCTCAATTCTTCATTGGCTCCCGACGTCGCTAAAGTTTAGACTACAATCCTTCTCCCAACCTCCACTTTGCATTCTCGATCCGATCTTCAAGACAACTACAATCTGCAGGGTCCAACTAGTCTACCACACTGTCTCTACGCTTTCTTTCGATGAATTCCACGTCCGCTTGCGCCTCGGTCATATTGCAAACAAGATTCTCCACTAACTCTTCCTTTGTTGTGAAGCCTTCGATCCACCAATCTCTGAACTTCATCAACTCACCAACCCATGCATCCCAGAGATACCATCGACCCTTGTCGTCTCGCAATATAAATTCGTCGCCCTTGGTTTCTTTGACTACCGGACAGAGACCATCAATGTTGTAATCGTTCGCTACGTTTACTTCGTCTTTTGGATCGAAGCAAGCAGAAAGATATAACTTCTTTGGGTCGTTGGTCCATGATCGCTCAACATTTGAATCGTATTCTTCGTTGAGTTGAACGTATGGTATGCCTTGATCGTCGTATGTTTTTCCGTCGGTCGTTGTGCTGGGGATACCCCATAACCATTCTAGAATTGTTGTGTACATCTTAACGCCGGTGTCGCAAAGAGTTTATGGTGGTACAGTGAGACCAGAGTCACTGTTAAGGAAGAGCTTTGATTGAGATATGATGGATGACAGGACTTGTAGTATGTGTAAAGACATCACAACCGTGCGCAACATGCTGATTTAATAGGGAAGCTGTCGCTCTACTGACGTATCTCGCGGATTACACGATGTACACATCTATGATTACTTTTTTCAGGTACCAGATTTCGCGATACCTACGTGTCGACGCTACAACAAGGTGACAAGACGCTATCGCATATAGCTGCACGATAATCACAAAGTAAGCTCACCGCCGTCCAATCGTATCGCTCCCGATGTACTAGTCAAGAGGTAATTCCAAACGTACAGTCCGTTTTTCTGGCAAGCGCTACCACGGGGTACACAGCCGTGTACTCAGGCCGCACTACCATGTGCCACGGGACTGGTCTGATGAAGATCAGAATCAGCAGCAGGGTCATCATCCGGGTAGACGGAGTCAGCCTCGAAGTCTCTCGTTCCGCACGCGGCAGACTTCACTTCGCCTTCGCTGAATGACGTGGCTCTGGTGTCTTTTGACTTGATCACGAGACTTGTCATCGCACTCATGACGGAGGTACCGTCACCGCTCATCGTCTGTGAGGCTGGATTGATTGTGGTCGATACACTACCCAACGACGAGACTACACTATGCTTTTCAGTATTTGAACGCAAGTTTGTCTTGAGTACCCCTTTGTCAGGAGATCGTTCGTAATGAATGACTGACCAAAGAGAGGCGACATTGGGTTAATTAAGGGATCAGTTCTTGACCCACTGAAGACAGGATACTATCTCCTTCTTAGGGTGGTTCGGGATCGGATCGTCAGGTCTCTGGCACGTGGGAACCTATGGCTGTATTTGTGTGTACCTTTCCTGGGACCGATTTCAGACTTGTATAAGCCTTGAGACGTGTCATTCTGTGAGTGGAAGGATACCGCAATTGCTCCACAATAAGTCTATGTGCTGAGGATCTTGTTCGACGCAGGTACGCAGTGGTGTGGCTAGTGATGGTCAGGAACGAAGCCAGTGACGAATGGGTTTGTTCATTCAAACGATGCACTTCAACGACGACATGTTCCGTACCCGAGCCAAAACGAACTTAGAATGGTTCGGCTTTTGTTGCGGTAAACTGTGAGGGGCCTGATTGGACTTCTTGCGGCTGGCTTTCATCGAAGTACTCTGCAATGTCGCCCACCACGTCAATCGTGTACCGTTGAGAAAAACGTAATTGATGTGCGTCAGAGAGAGGAAGGATCCGGTATCTTGTTGCACATGTAGGTTCATCAAGCTCAAAGTGCTGCTAAGAAGCGCACTGACATTGCCCGCCTTCGATACTAGTTCCACCGACGAAAACTACCTGCACCGAAGTGAACCTAGATTCGTTAGCCACGTTACCTGTACTCAAGACAATAGACTCACGCCGCAGTGGCTGCAAATATCTCAACAGGACGGGCCGTCGTGAAGATAGTCAAGACCAAGGCAAATACTCCTGAGAACACAGCAATCATAGCGATCCTATGCCGAAGATTTTCTATGAAATACAGTGCGACAATGGCTGTAAATGGCAAGATGGCAGACAATACAATAACCAGAGCTCGAGCGATTTTTCGTAGGATTCCAAGCTTGATGCGACTGACTAGCCTCTCTGATCCGACTATCGGTTCCTATTACAAACTTGTCAGTATGACAGATCTCCTTGCAGACGTGAAGCTTACTACGAGAAGATCGTATATGATGTTGGGAAGGCGAGGTACTAAGCTCAGCTCTAGCCACTGTAAGAACTTGTCATCAGAAGACTTGTTTGACACAACGATAAGATCTGGCTGCTCCAATTCGTCATACGCCCGGTGTTCGCATCCTTTGAGGAAGTCTCTACCACCTTCATTGTGCTGTAACCAGTATCTCAACCATCTCGAATCGGAGACTTGGGCTCGATCCAGCTTTGAAACGCGGGCTTGTTGGAGCAAACAATCGTCTGCAGACGTGTGAGTCGTATAACAAATAGTGCGGGATAGAGTTAGATCATACTGTATTCCCTTAGCTTCTTTCTGATCTCAAGGATCTTGTCCCACTGCGGGCTGTTGGGCGCTTTCTTCATCTCCCATACACTTCTGGCGAAGTTCTTCGTGGTCGGATCATTTCCATTCTCATCAACATGAGTGATAGCCTCGAGTTCTTGTTCTAAACAAAGAAGTTCAGCCTGCATATACAGCAAGTTGCGGACGTTGAGCTCAGCGAACTGCTTGAAGACTCCTGACCATTCGTTTAAATCTTGTGCCAACAGTTTCGCAAGTCCGGGATAACCATTTTGGATCCGCCCAGGTGTAATCTCGGTCATGGCAGGATTTTGTAGGAAATAGGTTGGAGCCACAAGAAAGCACCTAGGGGACGTATTTCAGCCTTCCTCGAGATGCCAAGCATTAACTCAGCCTTGCAAGTAGCCATGCAGTCAGCAAGCTTGGTCAAGTGATGCACTTTCAGACCAATAGCTTTCCGGCCTAATGATCACTACCCTATCTTTAGGATACTTCAGCCTTGGATGCTTCACGAACTTGCGCGATTTTGAGCTTACACTAACCTGTAAAGCCACAAAATCTACGACGATGGAGATTCCCACAGCTGAAAATAACTCGATCGACGAGAGCACTTCCCTCCAAGTGGTTGGCGTCAGAGGTAAGTATGGGTGATCTGGTAGTGACACCTTCCAACGATTGACAAGGCTGCAAGAGATCCAAAGCCATCAGCGCAACGACAGAAATAGAGCCGGACAAGCAGAGCGAATACAAGGCGAGAGAGTAGAAAACCACTTGCTGCTACTGGTGCAAGTAAACCAACCGCAGCCGGTAAATCCACCGCAGCAAGTACACTACCACCAGCAGATCAACTACAATCAGCAGATCAACTACAACCATAATTTCAATTACGTTCAGCAACGACAAGCACAAGTATGGTACCCACCAACAGGATAGCAACGAGATCAGGTGACAGGTCAGTTTTATCGTGATTATTATGACAATATCAGTACGTTTCACATGGTTGAAGAAGAAGAGTCTTCTACTGATGTTTTGACCTTAGCCCAACTTTGGAGTAAAGATTGGTGGGATCCTCAACAGGGTAGGGCGTACCGCGTTGTAAGGGACTCGAATGGTCAGTAGTCTCTTCATTGAATCGGATAGACAGACAATCTAATGACGTAAAATGCCAGGGAATCAGCACAGTTCGTGGTTGTAGTCCGTTCTCCAAGTGGTTCCGGTACTCCCATAGATTGTATTGGGCCTCATATGCAATGAGGGAGACCTTGGGCATGACTGAGCTTCAGCGGCTACCAAAGCGTAACATTGTGTCTTGGATATCGTCTACTTCCCACCCTGGTTGAAGTTCATACTATATCCCCCACTCTTCTCATCTTTCGTGAACTGGAAATTATCCGTGCTCAATCCAAACGGCTTCAGTATGCCATTACCGAGCTGTTTCAACTTGCCCATCATATCCGCCATCTCCGTATTCTTCGCCTCTTCCAACTGCCCCGGCAACTTCCTCAACGCTGCCTGTACAGCTTTCTGGTCCAGGCTCGAGAGCTGGTGAGGCGTCTTGGAAAGGGCTTGGTAGTCTTCCAGTGATCCTTGTAGAGACGCCCAGCCACCAACTTCATGGCGTGCTTTTGCGCGACGTAGGAGTGCTTTCGTGCGGAGTTTGTGGACGTCGTTTATCGTATGGTTGGTTCGGGTGAGGGCGTCGAGGTAGAGTTCGGTTGTATCGTCTATTTCAGCAATTGCGCCACCGCCTGTTACTTCTTTGCCTTCATTTTTCTGTGGTGGAGGATCTATCCGGTCCAACGCTTCCAGAGCTTGGGTCGCAGATTCTACGGCTTGCTTCCACTCTTCTAACTTTAGGTGGCAAGCTGCAATGTTGGAACGGAGGACGGCAATATCGTATTCAAGGTAAGAAGGGCATACTGCTAGCGCCTTTTCATAGCCTTGTATCGCGCCGTTGTATTCGCCGGATGTGAATGTTTTGTTCGCGGAAGCTTTCTCCGTGTTCGACTCGTCCAGCAGCTTTTTCTCTTCATCTGGCGGAAAGATTTCTGGTGTCGCGATTTCGGCTACGGCTGTACTTGATTTTACCGCCGTTTCGTCCTGTGATGCCATGGTCGCGTGTTCTACCAAAGTTTATGTGTGGACGCGTGCAGAAAAGGTAGATCTGTTTCCGAAGTGACGTCTGTCGAGGTCCGATTAGCGTGCCTCGGCCACGTGGGGTAAACATCCAGGCAACCCCAACTTTCTACAATACTCCATTGAATCTCTACAAGAATCTTCAATACCCAGGTTTCTACCTACATCTTTTCAAACAACTTCCAAGATGAGCTCTACGTATGTATGAACCTTGAAATCAACACAAGATTATACTAACTTTTATGTAGTACAACCCCACCACCCCGCATCCGGGCAGCGCTCTTCGACATGGATGGTAATGAAGCAATTACTCTGGTTCCTTCCATAAGTTTTAACACATTCAGGTCTTCTAATCGACTCCGAAGACCTCTACAGCATTGTAACAAACACAATCCTCGAACGCTACGGCCGCCCTCCCCTGCCATGGTCCATAAAAGCACAGCTCCAAGGTCGCCCCGGCCCGCAGGCAGGCAAGATCTTCCATGAGTGGGCGCAACTTCCCATATCTCACGAGCAATTCTTGAAAGAGCAAAAAGAACTCCAGACAAACTTGTTCGAAAAATGTAAGCCATTGCCTGGTGTTGTGGACTTGCTGGCAGGATTGAAGAGCAGGGGCGTACACATGGCGCTCGCGACGAGCAGTCAAAAGGCCATGTTCGAAATCAAGACTGCGCGTATGAAGGATCTGTTTGATGGGAATTTCAAAAAGGAACACCAAGTGTTGGGTGATGACCCTAGGATACCTGCTGGACGAGGGAAACCCGCGCCGGACATCTACCTGTTAGCCCTATCTACGTTGAACAAGACGCTTGAGGAGCAGGGTCAGACACCCATAAAACCAGAGGAATGCCTTGTATTCGAAGACAGCGTGCCGGGCGTAGAGTCGGGAAGGAGAGCAGGTATGCAGGTGGTTTGGTGTCCGCATCCTGGGCTGCTTGAGGAGTATAAGGGAAGAGAGAAGGAGGTGTTGGCAGGATTGACGGGGGAACACAAGGAGGACGAGGAGGAGCAGTTGCAAAAGACTGAAGTCGACGTTGCGCAAGGCAAGAGAAGGGTTGGGATGCCAGGAGAGATCGACGATGGATGGGGGAGATTCCACAAGAGCCTAGAGGACTTTCCATATGATAGCTACGGTATAGGTACTAAGTCATGAGGCTTTCAAGGAACGCCTATGTTGGTCTAAAAGACGGTGAAATAGAGATCTAGCATACAGAGAAGATACCCAATAGATGATACAACCACCACATCAGACTGTCAAACATTCTGAAATTTGTTTCAGCCATGAAAACATGATTCGTATTCTTTTGTCATATACTCCATGATGTGATCATTACCTGCAATAGCACACTTAGGACGGACTCGGAAATACGCAGCGACCTGTAGATGCAACCATCTCCCATCCTCGGTCAGGTATCAGACTCCAAACCCTACCCCCAAAAGATCGAGCAGTAACGCCGGCCAGTCATGCGCGCCACCCAATCAATCTCTTGCAGTCATAAGCTTGTCGCGAGAAGATGGAGCAACTACGCAACCTCCTCAATCTTGGGCTTGTCGCCTGATGGTGCTGCCTTGTCCTTGCTGTCCTCGTCGTTCTCAAGCTCGGGCATGTCGTCATCATCGTCGTCGCTGTCCTCTCCGCCCATGCCTCCCATGCCGGGCATTCCACCGGCACCGCCCATGCTCTGCATCATGCTGGCCATGTCCATGCCTTCCATTCCTGGCATACCGCCGCCACCGCCTGCGCCGAGCTTGCTGAAGTCGATGCCGCCGAAGCCACCGTCACCACCGCCCATACCGCCAGCGCCCATTGGGTTCATCTGGTTCATGGACTCGTCCTCGGGTGCCTCATCTTGCTCGTCCTCGTCAACCCACTATGATGAGTTAGTGTATCGCTCTTGATTCATCCGGTGTCGCGCAGCTTACCTTGTCGAAGTTAGTCTTCAGGAAGTGCATCTTCTTGTTGTCCTTGAGCAGGCGAGGCCAGTACTCCTCCTTGAGTTCCTTCTTGCGCAGTACCATTGTGACGTCGCGTCCGCTGTGGCTGATCTTGGACTCCTTGGGGTCGATCTCGGCGAAGAACTCAAGGTCGATGGCGTATGTGACCTTCTTGGATGTTGAGGTACCCTTGAAGCTAAGTGACTGCTCCTTGAGGTCCAACTTGAGGTCTGACTCGGGGACATCGGCGGCGACGATGGTGAGGTATACGTAGTTCTTCTCGGGGTCGTCGCTGGATGAGCGTTGCGCCCAGGTGACTGTCGCGCGTCAGTATCTGTTGAGTATGGTTCGTACATGCTCTGCTGATGCTTTTCTGTCTGTCGCGAGTAGGCGATTCAAGATGTACGTAAGCCCTTGCGTTGAACGCGGGCGAACGGCTATGTGTAGTGCTCCGATAGCATCTCAAGAGCTCGCGTAGGGGGCAAGGCTGCAGCTTACCTTCGGGAGTGACAGTGGTCATGTTGAGGGTGAGAACTCTCTTGTGTTGTTTCTAATCGAGTTTGAAGGGTTGCTCGGGATGTAGAAGTGGTTGTATGAGGCGTCTGTTGTGTAGTTGTAATGTAGTGTTTGGCTAGACGAGCAGATTGAAGGCGGAAGAAATGCAGTGATGTGGAGGGACTAGCGTGGAAAGCAATAGAAGCTCTATGGAATCTTGAAGTTGAACGCCCCGGTTTTGGTCGATCAATTACGGAAAGCAACTCTTAGGGATATGCAGCTGGAGATTCTATAGGTGTCTTAGATGCGCTTGATTGCCTCTGCCAATGTTGCGTTGGCTGGCAATCCTCCAGGGCTCGATGCTTGAGGCTAGTGGGTTGCAACTGCCCCGCGAAGGAGCTCAACGTCACAATGGGCCCGAGCTCGATCCTGGAGCCGTTGCAAGGCACCGCTACCACAACACCTCGGGACCCTTGGACATGCACATGACATCGCAACTCACCTTGCTGCCACCACTTTACCTCTTACCCACCACTCGCTAATCGCCTGAATACAACTCGAGCAATCTGATACGCTTGAAAATCCACACGCGCTGCACACGCCCTCACCGACTCCCGCTGTATCCGCACCAAATCGCGCATACATCAACGACACCTGGGCATCGACTTGCTCAGACGTTCAGAGTACACCACACTGAGCGCCCATTATGGAGACCATCAGGGGTCTCCTGTGGAAGCCCACACCAGAGGAGCAGGTACATTGTCTTATCTTTAGCCATGCTGTCCAACCCTCTAACAAGTCTATAGAAGCGTAAATGCAACGCCCTCGTCCGCCAAAATGTCCGCAAACTCGACCGTGACATCCAACAGCTCAAAGCCACGGAGCAAAAAACCAAAACGCTGATCCAACAATCCTCCAAACGCGCCCAACGCAACCCTTCTATGGCAAAGCAAGCCAACCAAGACGTGCGCATCTTCGCCCGCGAACTCATCCGCGTACGGAAACAAAACAACCGGCTCATGACGTCCAAGGCGCAGCTCAATAGCGTGCAGATGCAAGTCAACGAAGCCTTCTCGGTGCGTAAAATCGAAGGCAGCATCAAGGCGAGCACAGGCATCATGAAGGATGTAAACAGTCTGGTGCGATTGCCAGAACTGACGGGCACAATGCGGGAGCTAAGCTCTGAGCTGATGAAGGCGGGTATCATAGAGGAGATGCTGGATGACACGTTGGGCGAGAACGAGATGTTGGAGGGTGAGGCTGATGAAGCCGAGGAGGAGGTTGACAAGGTGTTGAGTGAGGTGCTCAAGGATAGGTTACCGCCGAGTAAAGCCAAGGAGGAAGAACTACCTAGTGCGCCACAAGCTGAGGAGGAGGAGGAAGAAGACGATCAGGCCGAAATGCTCGCCCAGATGCGGGGACGGCTTGAGGCGCTCAAGAGCTGAGCGAGTCATACATTCTGTTACTTTTGAACCAACTTGTTGTACACAGCATGCATGTTTCGTTTATGCGGCGTTATGGCGTATAGGGAGAGGCCCTTGCATATCCCCATGTCTAAATAGTGGTCACCATATCACAATCCATTTACTCATGCCAAATAGTCGATACATCAACTAAGAAATTTGTGTGACAACAACAATTCTTCATTCAGGCGCCGAAGCGCGAACACGATCATGTCAAACTACATGCCTTATAACTTTTTGGTATCAAGTCGTTTCATAATTCAGTCATCCACCCACCCATCCATCATGACAACACTCTGTATATCCATCTCTTCCCATACATGCATCCACAACAAGAGGCTAATACCCCCAGCATAATGAAACAGCTCCTAATCACCTCGTATAATCTTGCTAACAAACTTCAATTCCCATTCCTTAGGATCTTCGCCCACAAACCTCGCATTTGTCTTCTGATCTAGCATTTGCATCGTAACGGCGATGCCGTCGTACCATTCCCGTACTCTATCGTTATTGCTGTCTTCACCCCACACTGACAAAACGCCGTCTGGGCTACGGGGCGTGGGCTTGGGAGGGACACCCCGCATCTTAAGCAGCATGTTGAGTATATCGCTAAACTTCTCGCCTTGCTGAGAGAACGTCGATGGGGATTTATCAAGTGGCCACCTGGGGTTTCGGGGTGCTTGGTGAGAAGAGATATCCAACGTAGGCGCAGACGGCGAAGAAGTGGATTGAAGGGCTGTAGCGATGTCGTTGTCGACAGGGGCTGGTTGTTTGAATGCGTCTCCGTCAGCTTCTGGGGCAGATGGGGTGGTAGACGGCAGATCCCAGGAGCGGAAGAGCCAGCACATGCGCTCTACACAGGCGAGGAGGATTACGGCGACTAGGAAGGTCTCAAAGGGGTTGGCTTGTTGACGTTGGAGGAGGCGGCGTTCGAGATCGTTCATCACCACACGGGCTAGACATGCGGCACGCTTTTCAGTCGCTCCCATGAGTTGCATGGTGATGAGATTGTAGGACGATTCGTGATCGAGAGGTGTAATGGGTGTACGGATAGCGTCCTCCAAATCTGCTGGCGCCAAAGTGGACGGAGTGATGGTGGGTGCCAAGGAAGGGTTCGAGAACAAGTACCATTCAAAGTTCCGGGATGTGAGTACGCGTGTAAGGTTCCATAGCTCCAGTGCCTTTGATATGAGTCCGTCTGCGCTTGTTGATGCAACGCTCTTTGCGACATTCACCGTCATCCTCATGAAATTCGAATCTTCGGTATCAGAAAACTGGCCACCCATCTTCTTGATGTAATGGTCTAGCTTCCCACTGACATCGTCATCACTATCTATCAGCTCCAGATCCGGAGAAGCTAGGCCGGCGAAGATCGCAGGATCGATATCCGTATTCTGTGCTATTTGCGTCTGCTGACACTTCAGCGGTGTGAATGTAGCAAATATGCCGGAATGAGGAAAGTGGGTTGCTTCTATGCGTCCTGGTGTCTGATCGAGTCGTATCTGACCTTTGGCTTGGTTCGTTGCATGGAATGCCAACACACTATGGAGTCCTGCAGAGTAGAGACCGAACTCCTCTGCGATCCTTGTCCTGATACACGGCTGCTTCCATAATCGCGCGCTCTCGACATTCTGACAGGTATTGCACGGGTTATCGCCTGAGCACGGCTTCTTGAGCATGCGACACCGAATGCACGCGCCTCGCTTTCGCACCTCCTGGACTTCTTTTCGCCTGGAGTCAGTGAAACGACCCCTGACCTTGGGTTTCACTGGTTTTTGGTTCATGCTAAAGTCGGTGGTGAAGTGGGTCTGGTTACCTGGACTCATTGCAAGCGGCCGTTGCTGGCCCATGCCTTTGTTCAGCTGGTCGTTTGCGTGCATCTGCTCCTTGCCATGGTCCTGTAGCATCGGGTCGAGCGAGTTGGGCTGTATGTTGGGCCAGTGATGGCGTCCTTGCGGATGGAAGAACTTCCCGTCCGACATGCCTTGCATCCCATGTGCCGACAGGTTCATGTCTGATTCCATGGGCATGCCGTTTGACAGTGGCATGAGATCGTTTGCAGCCGATGCTGCCATAACGAGCGAGGGGACCATATGCGACATTGACCCAGAGCTTCCCAGAGGCATGTGGCCTATATGAGGTGAGGCGGTTGGTGAATGATGTAAAGGCCCATTGAACTGGTACATGGATGGCATCGCTGGCGCATGCGACATATCCATACCATGTGATAGACCACCCATATCAGAGCCATCGGGCCGATCATCCTGTATCAGAAACTCATCCAACAGCCCTGCATGACTTGCATTGTTATTGTGGTTATGGTTGTGGTTGTGGTTGTGATTATGGTTGTTCTGTGGTTGTGAAGGCTGCTTCTCCGCCATGCGCTTCCCAGAGAGGTCCAGATGCTGTCGCGACACCTCGGCCAGCGTCTCCAGTGCTGAGAGCTGCTTGGAAGGCGCAAAAGGAAGGTTCATTTTCTGGCCATGCTGCATTTGGCTCGGTCCCGGTGCGTTTGGACTGGCCGCCTGTGTCATATTGTCGGGGAGAGGCAGCTCGTGCATCTGCAGCAGCGCGCGCTGGCGGTCCTGGAGAGGTAGCGCGGGACATTTCTTAACGAGATGATTCGTGAGGCTATCTATGCGACCTTTAGGAAACTGTTTTCCATCAGCTATCGTCGTCAACTTTTCCAGGGCGGGGTTGCTCACCTTCTCACCGCACGACTTGCACGTGTGTTGGTAGCGATTACTTGCATCTTCCAGCTTGGGACCGCGCTCGAAGTACTCGAGGATCAATTGGTTGGGTCGTCGACCCATGATGGGCCCAGAAGTTGCACGCTTCAATAATGTGGTGGGCGACGGAATATTACTGCCGGAAGTATTTGGCGGTCAGTAGCCGGCGGTCCAAGAATGCTGAAGTGCGCCATGGTTGGACGCTGTGTCAACGAAATTAGCGTTCCCGCCAGCCCTACCCCAGATCTGACATCATTTCCGTCTCTCACTTCCATCATCGCTGCATCAACCAGATGGATATCTATACCCAATAATGACGATCAGGGATAATCTCCAGGTTCCTATATCATCTGCCCGCGATGAAAGTGGTGAAGCTACCCGATCTTAGAGTAGTCTACAAAGTGGTTCAAGATACATGGCATGAACTGAAGTCGTGCCTCTTACTGAAGGAACGATACCAGAAGCGCGCAGATGGAGCATCGAAGTCGCGATGTGGTTCTGCAGGCTACGGATCTGGTGTTACCTGATCGTGTACATGTTCCTGACTAGAGACGCGACTAGCCAGGGTGCAGTCCGCCCTGCATGCATATACATCTCGCAGACCTGCATCGAGCCAGAAAAAGACGATACATCTGAAACAAGATTGGCTAGTTTCTTGCTATGATCACTTGGTTGAGGTGATGGTTGTTGTCCCTCGAATAAGTGATGACGTCTGTACTCGTCATACCAGATGAGTAGGCTAGAACATCAACTACGGCAATGACATACTACATATCTGATTGCTATATTCTGTTCATACCTGCGACTCCTCAGCAATTCGACTCGAGACACCTATTCAACCACCGAGATGCCGACCACAAAATCCCCTGCCACAAATCCAAACATCACACCCGACCCATCTCAGAATGGTTCCACAGTCCGCAAAGCCTTCCTCTTAGAAGCCTTCGCAAACCTCTTCACCATACCACTAATAACAAACACAAGCTGGACGCTATCCCTCCTTCTAAACAACCCCTCTCGCGATATCAACCCCACTTCGATCCTTTTCGCCCGTCTTTTCGGCGGATTGGTCGTAGGCGGTCTGACGTCCGCCTTGCTTGCGGGCGCGACCAACACGCGCAATGGTATCGAGAGTCGACGACCCACGTATATGCTCCTGGGGCTTGGAGAAGCGGTGTTGATCCCCATGATAGTATTGGATTTGATAGAAGGAGGAGGGCCAAATGCAGCGCTAAGCAAGGGGGTTGCTGCGGCTAGTGTGGCGTGTTTGGTACCGCCGCTTTTCTGGAGATTGTATGTGCTTTTCGTTCGGCCAGATTTGCTAGGAAAGTACACAGAAGAGGGGAAGACTAACGGTAGTGCAAGGAGCAGCGGTGGATGTGAGTATCTGCTACATTGTGCTGTGAGGATGCCAGCTAATTTGATCCAGATGGTGCTATCAATACGCGCGAAGACTGAGAAGATGAGAGTGGTTGCGAGAGACTGCGCCATGAAGGCCAACGTCCTGTTTCTGAATGTGGTCTCGGGAGCCTCTGCGGATTGTAGAATACCTTTCATGCTATCACACTTTTCCATGTCCTACATGCAGAACAAATCTTCCATAAACGCCTCGCTGAAATCATATGCAATGTGTCTTCCCAGGTTTTCACATAGAGCCATGCTTCTTAGTCTGCGAAGCCTCCCCACTCTGCCTCCGAATCCTCCTCCTCTTCGGCATCCTCCATGGCCTCCTCCAGTTCCTGCCCTCTCCATGCTCTTATCCTATCATCAGCTAAACACTCTTTCGCCGCGTTTCTCAGCGGCTTCAGTTTGCCATCCTTGGCCATCTTCTCAACAGGCAGCACCAGCGTCTCCAATGTCTCTTTTTTGTCTTCTTTCTCCCATGCCTCTCCCTTGACCTTCTCCATCTCATCGACCCAAACATCCATGACGTGGTATCTCAATCCATTTGGAATTCTCATATTCTGGCATTCCAGGGGTATCTCCTCCATGACGGCATTCCATTGCTCTAGCAAACTCTTCTTCCACTTGTTTTTGCTCAGAAATTTGAAGGACGCATTGAGGTATTGGCGGATAAGGTAGAGGTACTTGTCTAATCGCAGCGCCTCAATATGAGTCCATTCGCGGGACATGGTGAGGAAGAAAGCGCGGACGAAGGGCAGTACGACGGGCGTTCGGAGGCTCGAGACTATAGAGGCGAGGTCGCGCGATAGGCCTTGCTGGAGGGCGGGTTTGTCTTGCATCCATAGGCCTAGGAGTATCTTGTTAGTTCTTGCGATATTGGTTGCGAAGCTCTCGTATCATTACGAGGCGAAGTATGAAAAGCGCATACAATAAAACAGTCCCTTCCATAGTTTCAGTAGGTCCAATTCCGATATCTCTGATTGCGCGCCAAGGTAGGTTTTGAGTGAGTTGAGTGCTTCATCGCGAACCTTCTTGTCTGTCGCAAACGTTAGCTTGGTGATCTGAGGTTTTCCAATCACAAACTATGCGTACCGCTAGAGGCGAGATTCCTTATAAAGGGGTTGTTTTGCGCGTCCGATGCCATGATTTGCTATGATGTGTTGCGACGATGTCTCCGCTCAGAGGCTTGAGTTGCGGCCAAACTTTTTTTGGAGGGCTGATGGCGCTAAGATAGCGATAAACCACTACGGCCGCGCTACATTCAGATTAGCGCATCACAGGGCGTTCACGAACATTGAAGACACGAGCATGCGAGAGAATCGCACTGCGCGTCTTTATTGAGAGCAATCTGCCATAAGATGTTGCACGCGCTAGCTCTTAGTATGTGAATCTAGCATGTAGAGGCTACGTTCAGGTATAGAAAGGGCCAAACTTGAATAGTCTCGCAATTTTGCGAGAGTGGAGAAAATGCTAGCATATCTTCTAGTAGGAGGCAGTAACCTTCAAAGTGATGTTTACCTAGGTAAGATAGGCATATAGATTTACTAGTGAGAGATCACTAATAGCGTAGTCTGTGCACTTGCTTACTAAGTAGTGTTTGCTGTACCCGCGGTACACTCGCAAACCTACTCTAGAATTAAGGTGCCTAACTTTACTTCTCTTCTAACAAAAGAAGCAGACGTCTACTATAATTCTATCTTGCTAGTAGTCTCTCTAGTAAGACTTTATTTCTAAATTTAAATCTTAAGCGACTCTACAATCTTCTAGGTTTATTACTCTTACAGCGCAAGTCTATACTACAGCGCAATCTATGCTTGAAATTATTTGCTAGAAATACTTTAAAGAATCTTAACTAGACTGTTAGTAAAGCTAACGCGATGCAGTTGCGGGTTTAGGGATGCCGGCTATGGTCGTAATTCCAACAAACGGACACGCGAGGCGCCGTGTTCGCGTAGACCGCGTAAGTGCTTCCTAAAGCACTAAACTTGCACGCAGTAACACTTACGTTGTCTCTAGGTGCACTCTGTGGTCGCGAATTGCTCTGAAAACGGCGTTGGTACTCCTTCACCCTGTATGGCCCGTGCTCCGTGCTGATATCAAGATCCAGGATGAGCAATACCTAGTACGATGGAAATCGGAAACATCGACTACGAAGCCACCTTTCAGCTGGCATTCGGTGAAGGAGCTAGTGCGCTGCTTAGAACACATTCAAGATTACCTGGAAGAGAGGGAAAAGTGAGCTACATCTCCCCATCACCATAGCTTGTTGCTAATTACTTCAAGGAATACGACATTGATTCAGCAGACAAAAACATCCAGAAAAAGGAAGAGCCCTAACGAGGAATCGGAACATGACCGTCGCTCATCACCTTTTGACCGACGACTTCAAGAACGCCGGACGCCGTCAGCGTCTCGGTCACCATCTTTACCTTGTGTCGATACATCTACATCTCCAACCATAGACGTCTACAACGGTGTTCTAGATGCCGATGAATATGGCCACATCTTTTGTCGTAAAGTGAGTCTTCCAGCAGATTGCCTTTTCTCACCACTAATATGCAACACAGGCATCAGGTCAAGGTATACCGGAACTTGAGATCCGTGATATCCCCACACTGGAGATGAACCGGTCTGCACATCATGCCAGTGTGGACAAAGCACAAACCTTGATCCGCAACGAGTATGTACGTAGACTGGAGAAACTACCGGGCAAACGCATCCACTTGTTCAATGTGGTTGACAAAGCCACTCCATCCTTGCGATTTCGATACATTTCCGATTACGTGCTGCAACAAGGCGTCTACCGCGCATCTACTGAAACGCAACAAGGCTGCATGCAATGCTCACCACACATGGGCCGCGAAATTGGATGCGAGTACACAAAGAAATGCGACTGTCTCGAGTATGCTGCAGTCGATGAGAGCCGCCTTGACGATGAAGGCAAGCGGGAATATCAAGAAGCTCTCGACACTGGAGCGTCTACCATGGGGTTCCCCAAGAAGTTTCCATACTTTGCTGAAGGCACTAAACGAGAGAAGACCGGCTGTCTCGTGCCCTTTTACCTGAACTCCCGTCGACCAATCTACGAGTGCAACGAAAAATGCAGATGTGGTCCCTACTGCCGTAACAAGAACGTGCAATTCGGTCGTCAAGTGGAAGTCGAGATCTTCAGAGCGAATGACGGGCGTGGCTGGGGACTACGCTGCAAAGTAAGTTTTGAAAAAAAAAAAGACCAGTATTCGCGAGACATCCACTAACGTTGAACCCACTATTACAGGAAGATCTTCACGAAGGCCAATTCATCGATACCTACCGCGGAGAAGTCATCACCGACGCCGAAGCTACACGTCGTGAGACTTCTTCCTCAAAAGCAAAAATGTCCTATCTGTACTCTCTCGACAAATTTGCTGAGTCAGAGGGCCTGGACGAAAAAGATCTCTACGTCGTAGACGGCGAATTCATGGGTGGACCAACCAAGTTCATCAACCACTCATGTGATCCCAACTGCCGGCAGTATACCGTCTCGTACAACAAGCATGATCCGAGGGTTTACGATATTGCGTTCTTTGCCCGTAGGTTCATTCCCAAGGGCGAGGAACTGACGTTTGACTATCTGGACAAGGAAGAGGGGGACGAGATGGATGAGCCGGGTGAGGGTGCGATACCTTGTCTCTGTGGTGCGAAGAACTGTCGTAAGTGGCTGTGGACTTGAAATTCGGGTAGCTTGGAGGCGCGCGTGGGCTATTGGAGTTATTGAGCTGGCATACGGAAGGAATATGGGTAGCGGTCACCACGGTGGCAGATGTTTTCCTCTAGCCATTGGTATATCACTCTGCATGACTGGTGGGCGTCGTGGCGTTTATATATCCAGGTTGCCGAATATACTGTACACTCGTGTCGTTTGTAATAGACATTCCTTTTAGCAGTTAGTTATCGCGTCTTCCCCACTGATTCCAAGCCAATCCGGACGGCCCTTGCTCCACTCTTCTATAATCATCACCACTTGAACCCTGAATGTTCAAAACTTTGAATTTACATCTCGTCACGTTGAAAACTTGAGTCACTTCAATTTGCGACAGCACTGCCTCAAAGATATCTTTCTCATTGCTTCTGCCCTTTCCCTCCCCCTTGCAGTAATCCCTCAACCCAGCCCATCGATATATCTCTCTGCCCAAGCCGCCTCCGCTCTCAGACCAGACCAGACGAGACCAGTATAGCATGATTCATGCTCACAACAAAAAATTACAGACAACGCCAGAGATAATTTTCCAGCAAAATGAGATGCTGATTGATAACAAAAAAGCCCTGAAGAAATCTCCGGCGCGATCGAGAAACGAAGAAGTTGGATGACCCAATACCCTGGAACGCCGCTGTGATGAGTAAGAAGCCCATTTGTCTATGATCCTTTCGCAACAAATGAGTGGAGTCAAGAGAAAGCCCTCCCGTAGAAAGGAGGTACTCAGGTGCTGTGATGAGCACACTACGTGTTTTACGTCTTCGTTCGGATTACTCCCAGTCTACCGTTGCCCATGACTCTCTTGATGATGGTGATCATCTCCGTCATGATGCAGAGTGACACTGTTGAATTCCTCAAACGGATCTGCAAGTTCGCCCATGGGTGTAGCGAGACCTGAATCTAGCGGGACGCCCTGGACCCTTGCTGCTCCAATATCAATACTATGGGATTCCTTAACATTCCGGAAGTTGGGCGTCTCGATACCTTGGCCCTGGTGAGGGACAATCGGTGGCTTCATGTGCCGTAGTAGGGCCCACTGCGTTGTCTTAAAGAAGGGTGCGGTCTTGATGTCGGAAGCGCCAGCACGAGATCCGAGGCGTCGGGTTTCGTCTTTGATCAGGAGTTTACGAATGATTGCTTTACAGAGACTGGGGTTGTTAGGACAAGATTCTCAACACATACAGGTCCAAACTTACTTCGATACTTGCGGCGCGCCAGAACCCTCCGGGAAGGGTACCTCGTCCCGGAGAATGTTGGCAAACGTCGCATTGCGGTTCTTGCCCTTGAAAGGCGTAGTTCCATACAACATCTCGTATATCAAGATACCAAGGGTCCACCAATCGACCGCACTCGTGTGTCCACAGCCCTTGATGACTTCTGGCGCGATGTACTCCTCGGTACCAACAAACGAGTTGGTTCGGAAGTTGTTTATGCACGATTTTGTGTCAATAGTAGGCAGATTGTTTGATGATGTACCGCTTCGGCCGCTGAGGATCATGGTCGGGCGACCGCCGGGTTCAGACTGTTTCGACAAATCGAAGTCTGACAGCATTATGTGACCAGACTGATGGAGAAGGATGTCTGAATTTGTTAGCATGAGGTGCGCAAGGATTGAGAAGCGACATACTCTCTGGCTTCAAGTCTCGGTAGATAAAACCCATCAAATGGAGGTATTCCAAGGCAGCTGTGACTTCAGCCGCATAGAAGCGTGCGGCATCCTCATCGACACACTTGTTTGGTCGTGTTTGCAGCGCTCGGAAGAACTCACCACCACTGCAGTATTCCATGCAGAGGTAGAGATGATCCTCGGACTGGAAAGAGTGGTATAGAGTAACGATAAAAGGGTGGTTGCTGGTTGCCAGAATTTCCTGCTCGGCCAAGGCACGCTTGATCTTGTTCCGCTTGATCATTTCCTTTTTGCTCAGCACTGTACTTGTTAGCGCAAGTGAATTTGTAGTTGCGAATTGGCTCGCGTACCCTTCATAGCATATAACCTGCTAGACTTCTTCTCCCGTACTAAGTATACCTTTCCAACATCGCCCTTGCCAATCAACTTGATCTTGTCGAAGCTCCCTGGTCCGACTTCGACGTTGCGGACCTTGATAGAGTTGGAGCTGTAGGTTCTCCTGAAAGCCACAGACTGGCGGATTTGGCCTGCCGAGGGTATGGGTTTGCCAGCTTCTATTGGTAGAAGATGAGTTGGATCTTGCGAATTTGTCTCGACCATGCTCAAGGTGGACGAATTCGGGTGGTGTAGCACAGGCTGCTTGCCAAGTTCTGCGGTCTGTGGTCTCTCAGTGTTCTTCCCCGAGGAAAAGAGACCTTGGGCATTAGGTGCGGAAGCTACCCTTCGTAGTTTCCTAGCCAATTCCTCTTTCCCAGCGTTCGTGGCGTGGTCGTCGGTAGTCGCTGCGCCGTTTAGTTGCGTCTTGGGCACCTCAGGGGTGTCTGGAGGCGATGGAGGTACACTGCCGGCGTTGTGATGGCGCAGGGCCGGTGGTCCTTGGTGGGCGAAGTATGGGTTGGCGTGCGCGGTAGGCGACACGCTGTCATCCAAGGGGTTGCCTTCGCTGGCGACAGTCTGCGAGCGATTGCGCGAGATGTGGGGAATGAACCTCGACTGGCGGAAGCCAGACTTTTCGTTCTTGGGATTTGCCTCGTCGGAGAGCTTGCGGGTGTCGTTGCTGCTGTTGATGCGGAAAAAGTTCTTGATCCGTTGGGAGACCTGGCCATCCTTTGCATTGACTGATTTGTTGGTGGACAGCGCCTTGCCCGAGAAGGTGCGTTTCTCCGTCTTTTCGGCCATGGTGGAGTGACTTGATGCGGACGAGTTAAAGAGCTGCGTCATATCGGTTGCACAGAATCGATGCGAGGGTGCAGCGGGCGACTCTGGTGTGCGGAGTTCGGAGAGTTGGCCGGGTGCAGGGAGGTGACGGTTGCGCGTTGCACGGTCAGTGGGCCATGGCACGTCGGGTGAGGTCAATGTCCAGGGTCGCTGTGCGGGTGGCTGGGGCGGCTTGGTGAAAGAATGACCCCGTCACTAAGGCGCAGGCACAGGCGATGGGAGAGGGAGATGCGGGCTGATGGTATTGGCGGCGAGGAGAAGAGGAGAAGAAGAGCAGAGAGTAGGGGAAAGAGGAGTTAGTGGCAGTATAGTAGGGCCAGCCAGCAGGTTGGGAAGGAAGGAAGCCAGAGCCGTGCCGGAGACCACTTGGGACTGCGGCGAATGATGGCGGAGGGCAAGTGGGGACTTCCGGATCCCTGTCTACCAAGGGAAGCCGCGTTCGAAGGCCAGCTAGCACCACAACCAGCCAGCAAGACAGGGCCGTCTCACTCGTCACCAATCAGCCTGCTACATGGCCATAGTCACAGCACATGTGTATTTCCAAGCAGCGCAAACCCTCGCTCTCACCTACACGCGATGGCGCCTTCGTGATGATGCATATCCGCCTTCCCGAGCCCTGCGCTGCGCCTCTGGCCTGAAATGACTACTGAACCGTCCTAGCACTTCCCCACGACTGGAGGACAAATCACGCTATTGCCCGATTTATCAGCAACGCGAAAGCATAACGGCACGTCATCGCACCAAACGCGGCTGTGTGAATCCGATACAAGATCCATCGTGATCGATTGACCCTTGGTCGTTGCCATGGTGAAGCCGTCTTACACCCCAAGTACACAATGTATGCGCTGGAGATGATGTAGATGATGTATGACAGCTCACAAAGGACGCGCATGTTTCCGCCATTTCGTCCATTGACGACCGCCTCGGACGCCAATCTGTTCTAGAACCATTGCTATTTCAGTTTAGCGCAAGTTTCGGACCTCATCCGTCACTCCGATATATCGGCCGTGCACCATGAACCTCGTCAGCTCACTTTAAGTCTAAGGAACAAACCGGCTGTCACTAAACTATACTGATTGCGAGACATGTCTGTATTATTCTACGATGCAACGGATGAGTATGCTGGCTACCTATTATACAATGACTGAATCTATACGCAAGATGCTGACGGAAAGGAGATGAGAAGGTGCATAGTTGACCAGAACGACTCGTCTTCGCCCATGACACATCCCCTGCCGCCTTCTGCCAGTCCGCCTATTGTCGAAACAAATGTTGAAGAAAAAAAACTCGGAGAATATCTGGGCCACCATAGCGACCACTGTGTCGTAGTAGAGGGTTGCAAAAGAGACTCGTCAATCGGAAAGATGTTGTTGTTAAAAGGAGGTATCGGTGATAGTGCTTACTCCATGAAAGTAATCCTCGGCCGAATTCAGAAGCAATCTCCTATACGGAGAAGAGCGTCAAGAGTAGACTTGGTTCACGTCGAGGTCGAAAAGATGCAATGACCTATCCAAGTAATCTGAAGTAGACGACGGCAAACCACAATCAACGATCAGGTGCGCGAGTTCCTACGATGCGCCTCGATCTCCTCGATCTCCGTCCTCTTCAGGTCCCGAAAGCGCTGTCGCCACTTGTCTGAACGTTTCTGCCTCTCGTCTGGAGACATGGTTCGAGGGTCGTCCTTCTTGCTGCGTCGAAACTTGTTGGTCACCTGTTCCAGCTTCGCTTTTGCGGGTGAATGCTCTTCAGACTTCTTAGGCGAGCTAGGTGGGTTGGCCGGCGAAGATGTAGCAGCACTACGCTCGACATCCGCGGCCTTTGTTGGAGAAGACGTCGCTTTCTGCTTGCCCTTACTGCTGGGCACCTTGAAGCAGCTTGTACTGCTCTCCTCATACTCAAAGGGGACAGGTGCTTCAGCCGAACGAAGGTCCCCTGCAACCGAAGACCGACGCTCGTCAGTAGGCGTATCGTTGATCATCTCCGACAAATCGTCCATGGCGCCGTCCAGTCCTGACAAGCGGTGGTTACCAAAGTGCCGAGGGACAGGTGCGCCATGGGTACCAAGTTCGCCCAGACTCACTTCCTTGAGCGTTGGGTAGAAGCGCTGCGAGCTCAGTGACGTGCCATAGTTGCGATTCTGGGTTTGATTGCCGAAGATATGCTGAACCACGCCACTGTCTAAGGGGTTGTTCGCCTTGGACAAATTAACTGGATTCTTCATGCCTCGACTTGTATCGTTCTCGATGCTCGGAAACGCAGCCTGTCGGTAGTTAGACGCAAGCCTCCGTGGAACGATCACTGGAGGGTTCAGGTGCTGCGCGGCAGAGGCGATGCGATGGCGTTCCGGAATAACTTCGCTGCGAGCCATGTATTGCACTGGAATTTCCTTAACATTCCCTTGCTGACCGTATTCCGAGTCACGACGGACATCGTCTTGCAGATTGCCCTTCGTTGAGCGAATGTTTTCCTGACCTCCATTGGCGTTGTTGTTGTTCAAAGGCATACTGGCAGCAGGGTCTTGGGGAAGAGACCCGGCAACTAACGCTCGTAACGAGGGTGTCCTAGAGTCAATGCCGTGTTGATACTCAGCTTGACGCTTCTTCGACTCGTCTGTGAGGAAGTGCAAAAGACCCTGGATGTAGCCTTGCAGAACCTCGGGACTGTCAGGAATGCCAACATGGTCGTAACCGGCCTGGTAGCCCTCCTGATATGTGGACGGAACATATGTTACCGGCTTGCCATGGAACGGCCAGTTCTCATCTGTACTAGTACGTTGGTCCGAGTTGGCGCGTGGCGCGATGAAGCTACTCGAAGCGGAAGTCGACGTGTTGGCGCCCATTGCAGGAGCTCGCTCAACCATGGTGGAGAAGGGCTTCTCAAAAGCGTTCTGCTGTACAGCAGTCATAGAAGGTTGTTTGCCAAATGCCTCAGGCCACGAAGTGAGCTTAGGCGCAGGCTCGTTTTGCCTTGAGCGACCAGAATCGCCTTCATTCCAAGGACTAGCAGGCCAGTGCTTCTCCGGTGTAGATGGGACAGCAGTGTTCTCATCGGACGAGTGCCCGGTCTCCTTGGCCTGTGGGGCTACGCGTGTTGAGGAATGCTCATGTGTGTTTGTAGGGAAGAAATCCATGGTATCAACGCTAGACAGACTATGCTTCTGCGATGACGCCCGGCGGTCATGTTTGCCCTGTTCTTGCTGTTGTTGTGCTCGCCACGGAGATCGCTTCTCTGGCGAGGGAGTGGGCGGTACAGCGCCTTGCGTGGTGCTGGACTTGGTAACGGGCTCGTATGTAGGGCTCTTTGGGTTCAAGATAGATCCCTTCTTGACATCCTCTGGAGGTGGTGGCTTGATCTCAATAGCTCTAGAACGACGACTAGCTGATCCTGGAGGAGAATGAGGCGGGTTTGCCGCGGCTGGGACAAAAGGTGTAGGCTCGACAGCAGTAAAGTTGGGAAATTGACCAAAAGGCTGGGGTTGGGGTTGGAACATCGGCAGAGGTGAATACGGTGCTGCGAATGGGTACATGGGAGGAGCATATCCTGGCTGGTATTGCGGTCCAAAAGTCGGCATAGGTGCTGAGCCTAAAGCGTTCGCTCCAGAGAAGGTGCTGTGTTGAGCAGTACTACCCTCTGATTCAGCGGCTGTTATTTGCTTTCGAAGCGCATCAAGCTCGACGATCAGGCACCGCTTCTTTTCGATCATTCCTGCGCGCCATGCCTCGCTCTGGTGACCAGCTTGCAATACCTCGGTCTGCTCTACGGTTCGCAGCTCTTGCTTCTTCAGCGCTTGTTGCGCCTTGAGTGTCGTCAGGTCCAGGCCAGCAAATGGTGTGTGAGTACTGGAACGTGATGGCCCAAAGGCGCCTCCCGTTTGAGCATTGTGAGTAGCCAACGTGGAAGCGCCCAGCATCTGTTTGGCCATCGTGTCCATAGTAGCGGGGCCAGTGGGAGGTATCGTGGGGTTGGTTGCGTTGACTGCTGGCAGTGCGAACATGCGATCACCAACAAAAATGACTGGTTGACCGCCAACGACTTCAACGCGAGCGGTATTGTTGCCGTTTGTTTGTGTCTGCGGTTGAGGGATATTGCCTGGGGCGACACGCAGTGGTGGTTGTGGTCTGTAAGCGGTGTCGCCGTATCGGGACGTGCCGAGCGGTGGAAGGTCGCTAGGAACTATACGGCCACCCGCGGTAACTCGTATACCAGGGGGACTTCCGTGTTCTTTGAGAAGTTTCTCTGCTTTGCCACGCTTAATCGACGGCGTCGGCGATGGCCGCTTCTGAGGGCCGAAAGGAACGAGAGCCGCCGGAGTAGGTACACGTAGGCTTCTGTTCGATGCTCTGCTAGACAGATTCGCCGAAGCGGACACTGAGGGGCGTAGGACGTGTTCTGTATATGAGAACGATCAGCTGTGCTCGCCTTATGGCAATGGTAGTAACCAAGACGACGAGGCTTGAGGTGATGTAGTGTAGTAGGGATCGTCGGTCGCAGCGTGTGTGGTTAAGGGCGTGCAGGATACGCCGCATCTGGACACTATGCTCCTTGGTGGGGAAGGTGAAAGGTGAAGGACAGAAGAGGGCAAGTCCGGGACTGACCTCTGATCACATCCTCATTAGGAAACTTCTCAATCGACACAGCTGATTCCGACACCGAGTCGCGAAGTGCAAGCAGTTCGTCCACCTTGTATGCGAACGACATCATGGAGGGTCTGTCACCCTAAGTGGGTACCGTAGACAGCGAGCCGCCAACCTGATTGAGCCGCTGGTATTATGGGGTCAATGAGACGTGGAGCTGGAGAAGCGAAAAAGGTTGAGATGGTGTGATGCGAATATCCTGCTTTCGTCAGTATAACTTCCTTGCAGCATACGGTACTTCAACATTGCGGATATAGGTGAGGGTCATGATTGGTGTAGCAGAGACAATGACATACCTCAAATCTGATCGATGGTGAGGCAATGCGAACAAGAAGTGAACGACAGCTATCCAAAAAGCCCAAGTGCAGCAATGCGAAAGATGGCGAGACGGAACAAGAAGATGGAACCAAAATGAGTGTATTGAGGAGAAGGACAGAGGAAGAGGTTGGGTAGGTTGTTATACCCTGTATCCCGCCGCAACTGCCAGTGTAACAGACGATCGGGGTTGGCCACTGAGGAAACAGATGACACAGCGACGATGTAGGAAGGTTTGAAGAAGAGCATCGTGAGATTTATAGAAGTGGACATGCGGACAAGCGCGGCTGCTAGGTGAGATTGAGAAGGCAAGAGCAGTCGACACTGAAGACATGGATAAGCGAATACTCGGGCTTTTACTCCGGCATCCAGGTGCGACGATAAAGTCTCATATGTGATGCAAGAAGAAACTCCCGAGTACTAAGATCTAGGAATGAGCGAGCCACCTACTGGCTCATTGAGAAACCGCAGATGTAGAAAAACTCGACGCACACACTCTTCTGAAGGCAGATGAACGCTGCGTAAGCCTGGGCATACAGCTCTAATATAGGATATGAGCATACAAAGTACGGTCACACGTACTCGGGTAATAAAGCTCGCTGGCTTCCAGGGTCCTATCATAGTTTTCCTCTTAACGCCTTGACGCCCTCGCTATGCTCCATGCTGAATATGCTGTACCATATATGTCTCTTCGCGCCTCCTGCTCATGTATTACGATGTTCAGAACACTTCTGACGTCCTCTGTACCTTTACCTCCTCCTCGTGGGTCTAGCACTAGGCGGCGGCGCCGACTCAAAGGCGTCATCAGACTCAATCTCATCATCACTCTATGCCCATATTAGCCCAACCTTTATAAATACCGTTATCGTCACTTACCGGCTCCTGCACAGCCTTCTTTCCCCTCGACGGCGCAGCCCGCGTGGGCTGACTACGCTGCGTAAGCGTCTGCGAGAAGTTCAACTTTGTCTGCGTAGCCGCAGGTCCCGCCTTGGCCCTCGTAGTCGTCGTCTTCTTAGCCGGCGACTTGGACTTCGCCAGGGGTTTGGTTGTCGTCCTCGCAGCGGCCTTCCTTGCAGGAGGTTTCTTCTGCGAGGCAACGAAAAGGTCTTCCGCGCTATCTTCATCATCTTCTTCTGGAACTTCTTCATCGTCGTCATCGTCGATCATGATCACGTCTTCGTCGTTATCAGATTCCTCTTCTTCGACAACAGCCTTTTTCTTGCCTCGGCCGCCTGTAGCTCTGGCTACTGGCGCAGCCTTCTTAGGTGCGGCCTTTTTGGCAGCAGCGGCAGTTGCACGACTTGTGCCAGCTGCTTTGCCGCGACCGCGTGGAGCAGCTTTCTTCGTGGTTATGGAAGCCAAGCTCTCGTCATCGTCTTTCTCGCCTTCATTGTCAGAACGGACGAGGGCAGCAGGCTGATCAGCCCAAGACCCGTCGAAGTCACTGTCCCATCCAGCTGGCTTAGGTTTGACCTTTGACCTCCGTGTCTTCTTCAACTGTCCTGAAGCGAACAGATCCTCCAGTTGTTCGCGATATTCCGCCATCTCCTTGGTAATCTCTTCTTCTTCGATTTCGTTGGCGGCCATGAGGTGCTTGAGCTGATTTTTGAGGCTGTCTCCGACGAAGGTTTCCATGGCATGCTTGTCGTCCTTGTCCACAAACTGGGACACTGCATCTCCAAAGGAATTCTGCGGCAAGATTGTCAGGGTTTGAGCTGTGAGGAATTCTTTAACCAGCTTGTCGACCTTGACTGAGTCAATCGAAAGCTCAGCCAGGATGTCCTCGTCTGGCTCTTCAGCCGTGCTCTTCAATGCACGGTTCGCTGGTTTCTTTTTCCGGTGAAACTGTACAATATCGTTGATGTTGGCTACCTTACCCATGAAGCGATTCGAAATACGCTGCGGATTCTCGCAATGAAATTCGCCCCCTCCTGGAGCTGTGTACTCGACACGCAGTCGGACAAGCGGTTTTGGCGGTTCGATGTCATCGTCTTCTTCCCTGTCTTCTTGAAGTTCAAGCCACTCCCTGTTCGCTTCTTGGATCAACTCCTCGATAACCTGGTTCAGGTATTGGGTAATCTTTGCACGGTTATCGCTGACATCGCGGACGCGCCATATCTCTTTTTCTTTAATTTCCCTCTCTTCTGCAAGCACAATTTCTTTCATGATAAAGGGTCTGACCGTTTTCAGGCGGATGTTCTCAGTTGTGAACTCCTTGCCAGTGACGCTCAAAATGCAAACGTGCTTGGGAACCGCCTCTCCAGGCATCAATGACGTAGCCACTGAGGAGCCGGGCTGCATGACATGGAAGCCCATCTCAGGGTTGTATCGCGGGTCAATCAAACATTCGTGCTCGTGGCCCCATACAACAAGATCCATAAACTCTGGTAGAAAGTTCTCGGGAAGATAGCTGGTCGGCGTATGTGCATGATGATTTTGGTGCACGCTCATGAGGTTGAACCACTCGTCCTTTTGCATACCAGGTTGGAAGAACTTGACATTACCGTCCCGCCAGGTGTGGAACAAGCGCTCATCACGAACGTTGCTGAGACCATAGAGAGCGAGTTTGGTGCCGCCCTTTTGAAGTAGCACAGGCTTCACTGCGATCTTATCGACTTCCGGTGTGCGACCAAAATAGTTGACGAAGCCAGACGCCTGCAACAGATCGAGAGGAGAGAACGAGCCTTCGCCTGACGGGTCGTCGTGATTACCATGAATGGCAAACACGGGTATAGCAATGTTTATATCTTCATCCTCGTAGTTGACGTGGTCGAACATGCCTCCAAAGTTCTCGCTCGCATCGCTCAGCATCTCCAGTTCGCATGGCTTCTCGCCGAGACAGTTCTGACGCAGTGATTTCATGACATGGTACATGGACTTCCTCGACGGCTTGTTCTCGTGAAAAAGGTCTCCCGCATGCAGTACCATGTCCACATCGTGCTCTTTCGCTAGGCACATGACTTCGTGGAATGTCCTCCAACTGTCGTCCTTTCGCTCTGCATCGCGTTCGTTATATCCGACATGGCTATCTGTGGCGACCAGTATCCGGATTGTGTCTGCGCCTGGAAGCCTCGTTAGAACATGCTTGTCGATACATCTCAAGTTTGCCCATACTCTGCTGCGCACCGCGTCGTGGGGGCATGGTGGGCGGCTGATCTGTGGTAGTTCGGCTCCGTGACTTCTGGCGCCGGTGGGAGTGATTCCGCGAGTTTAATGTCCCCCTTGAAGCACTGTAGTAGTCTTTCCAGGCAAACACGCCACTACAGGCCGAAGGATGGCGAGCAATTACTCACGACTCGCGACGCGCTTCCGCCTAAGCCAAGCCCCTAGCGTCCCCCGCGTTCTCACGTGCATTTCGTGAGGCCATCGGAAGCCGTCGAAAACATTCGCCGACCTCATCTTTCACGCCCTACGTCGCAATGTTTCCCACACGGGCGCTCTGCGCTCGATCGGTCTGGAAAGGTGAGATACTGCGCATTGCTTCCAAATCCTACAGGATCAAAAGACTAACGTCCTGCTAGGACCCAATATCGTCCCGTAAGCCACTGCAATCAAGCCCTGCGAAAACTGCCCTAATCATCTCGAAGCCTACCAATAGTACAGAAAAAGGCTGGCGAAAGGACGCCGCCGATCAAGACACAAGCGCGCTCGGCTACGATACTACCGAATTTCGTCGGCCTCAAGTTCCAGATACACAACGGCAAGAGCTACCTAGACCTCACCATAACTGAGGACATGGTAGGACGTAAGCTGGGAGAATTTGCGCCGTACGTGTGGCAGAACCTCCATGTCTTGCTGGAGCTGGTTGGAGAGAGATCGACGAAGCGCTGACATGTTATTCTAGAACACGGAAGCAGTTCACATACAAGCAGACGAAGAACAAATGAGCAACGGGAAACAAGTGCATCAAATGGGAGTTTGGGTATCATTTTGGTTTATCTAGAAGCCATTCTGTACTGCTATTGTACAAATATGATGGAGCCCTCTGCTTGTGGGCCAGATGCCTCAATCTTCCCAATGGCCAAGTACCCTGCGCCTGTGATGCCGGTTCCAAACGCCTAAAATGCATGTCGATATCCCAAATTGCCACATCCCGTCATGAACCAGCTTTCATGTAGTGCTGCCTAAGCAAAACCAGTGGACTTAACGGTAGAACTCGCCACGTTTGATGTTGACTCCGTATTCGCCTACTGCCATGCCCAGATCCTCCATAGTGAGCACGGTTCGGCCTTGACTGCCACCTTGACCTCCACCACCATATCCTGGTCGCTGGATGCCAAGGTTGTAGTCCTTGGTCTTTGAGCCGCTGTCCTTTCCACCAGGCGCACCACCAGGTGCAGCTGCTGCCGGGGCTCCTCCTGCGCCACCCATGGGGTTGTTACTCGTGGTGTTGGACGACCTGATGCGAGAGAATTGGTAGGCGTCGGCCGCAATGTCGGCGATGAATTTCTGTGTCGCCAGAGCGAGTAGACGTGCAAGATGTTGTGATGTCTGGGGTGGCGGTGGCAGACCGGCGCGGGTCAGGTAGTAGTTGGTCACTGCATCGGGTATCTGGTCGCCTGGTTAGTTCGCGATGCTTGGTATGAGGACGGGACGCGGCATACGATAGGCGCATAATCATCCATCTTGCCAAGGAACTCGCGCAACGTCGCATCCTTCTTCGCTGGTATGCGCGCTTCAAACGCGGCGGCCGAGTCTGTTACACCGTTGACTGTCGCGGGTTCGGCATCGTTTGCGCCGTCGAGGTTCATGGCGTCGGCTTCCAGTTGTGTCGCGTCTTGCTTGATCTCGTCATCCACCGCGTGGTCGAGTTCGTCGTTGACCTCCATGTTGGTGTCTGGGGGCTGCGAGTTTTCTTCAGACATGGTTGCGATGCGAATGATATGAGTTGCGACGTGGTGCGAGGTATGACGTGGGGTGGATTGATTGGATTGCGGACTGCGGAGACAACGCGGGAGTGAGTGAACGGCGAGCCAAGCACGGTCGCCCAATGCGGTAAGCCCAAAAGGAGCCAATCGGAGTGGTTATAGCCCAACTACCAGCACTGCATCTCTCAACGACGCGTTTTCACGTTGCCTTCTAAGGCCTTTGACTTATGGTGATTCTGACGAGTGAATCAAGATGCCACAGTCGGCACATGAGAGGCCAGATGGGACGGTTGCGGCTGTTTGCGCTACCACAAGCTTGGGGACCCTGAGCGATTGCCGGAGCACCTGACCCAGGCAAAGAGCCAGCCAAGGACATGAAGGTTCAGCCTTGTGTAGCTGCATCTCCAGATACATGCATACTCGATGGATATGACAGCTTCTTTTGCTTTGCATTAGTGACAACTGCCCGGTTCGCACTCTTTGACACTCCAGGTTGACACCAAGCCGTCTCGTCTTCAACCGCGTTCGACTTGTAATACATCATTTTGATCATTCTTGCGAACCCTTGATTCCTCGATCACTGTTTACGAATGACATGTGATACTGCACTCTACGCGTCTCTTCTTATGATACACGTACACGCAGAATCCGCATGACAGGCAGCAGACCAGTCGCTTCACACCACACTACGCAGCGAGGCACCCACCAGATGGCATATCACCAGCCATGGCCATAATCATCGATCTACCACCAGAAATCCTGGAACAGATTTATCACTACTTAGGTAGCATCGACGACGTCCACCACTTCGGACGAATGTGCAGTAAGACTCATCATGTCATCCAAAAACAAAACATCTACCTCGAGATCATGCGCTCAATCATTCACTCTTCACCCCAACACCGCTATGACTTCCAGCTTTGCAGATCCCTCGACCTCCATCGCAAGATCGTAGCGCACTTGGAACGACATCCTATGCCATTCGCTGCCAGCCAACCCGGAGTCTTCAGTTTCAGTATCTGGGAAACGCAATTGATGCAGACTGCCAGGAGTTGTTCTAGTCCGGCTGAATGGACAGATGACATGATTTGTGACATACTGGCAAGGTACCAGGGGCTGCGTGTTCTGGAGAACATTTGGCTGGAACGAGAACTTCAAGAGCAAGATTTCCTATCTGTGGATGATACCTCGGATGCACAGCGGTTTGTCCATCGCTTTGCAACACTTGTTGATCGCGAGCAGAAGTTCAGAGACGGAGACCTACCTCGAAGGAACCCGAATACGCCGCATACATGGTATTACACTGAATTGGACGCGGATCAGAGAGAGCGTTTCTATGCCGCTGTAACCTGTGTCTGGCTCCTCAACGAGATACGATGGGTCTTGACCAACTTTGCTTATCCGGCAAACTTCACTGTTCAGATCGAGATTCTGGGGGCGTTGAAGGCGAGGATAGAAATGGAGACTAGGACACCACTACTGGACGAACTGGATCGACACGCCGTGTTCACGTTCATGTACCATCATCTACTTCCCCTCCACGCTTTATTTATGGCAGATGCAAGCTCCTCAAAACTACCCTTCACATTCGCGTCCGACTTTTCCAAGGACACGGCTCATTGCACCAGGTACGTACACTTTACCTACTCACTTTCCCTGTGTCAATACTGGCTCTTACCGTTGTTAGATTACTCCAGCTCTTCCTCATGGCCTCTCAAACCTACTTCCAACCCCCTGACCTCGTCGACCTAACGCTCCGCTCCCGCACATCTCGTAAGCCGCCTTATCCCCTCCTTCCGACTCCCTGCTCAACCGAAAAATACCGTCGACCCCTCCCCTCCCTCTTCTATCCCGGCCACGACCTCAATTGCACACACCTCAAGGCGTCCTTCCAACGCACATCGATCGCACACCTCACCTTGATAACACGTTCGTCGTTCCATCAAACTAGTCATGATATGAGTCAAGGTGGTATCAGTCCATCGGCGCTTGGGGAAGCCTTGTTCAAGGTTCCGGACCATGCGAGGCGGTATCTTGCGGATCGTGTCTTGGTGGCGTTTGAAAAGGACGAGGTGAGGGAAAGAGGAAAGAGGGAGATGAGAGGAGTGTGGGGAAAGAAGTGGAGCATAGTTGGGTGGGCGGTTTGGTGGTGGGCTGGGAGTGAGGAGAAGGCTAGGATGAAGATGGAGAGGTTGCGGGCAATCGAGCAGTGAGTTTAATCCAGACTTGTACGGAAGATTCAACCGTATTGTAGATGCCTTCGCCAGACTTGGGCGTATTGGAGCTTCAGCTGACGATGGTGTGTACCTCGAGGATGTGTTCCTGTTTTGCATCTATTGTTGAGCATCTATAGACTTTATCCTTGCGAGTGTCTTGTCATTCTGGTTTCTTCCAATGTTTGTAGCAATCGTACTGTTCTGGATATATATCATGGAAAATACTCCGTAACATGGTTGGCAAGCGAGTGAGCCAGGCAAGCGAGTAAGCCACCCCACCAACTTTGCGCACCTCTACACGTGTATATCTCAACCACCTTACAAGATAATATATAGATAATAACAGAGTATACTAAGCAGTATCTAAGGTATCTTTCTTGCACGTACGTAAGTTGTGGCCAGTCTCCCTGCACCTTGTGCAGCGCGCTAGAGCCTGGCGGCTAAGGCCTGATCGCGCTCCTCCTTAACGCTCTTCACAAGAAATCTGCTGCTCAACCTTGCGTTGAGCAAGTATATCCTCTCCCTCTCCCTTTGTTAAGGTCCCCTGCTTCTGTATACGCTTTTTCTTCCGTTGCTTACGTGCTGACGCTGCCTTATTAGCCTTCTCAAGGCTAGCAATCCGATCGCGCATTAGCTCAGCTGAGAGCATTATTACCTCAGCCCCCTTCTTGAGCTGGTTAATCGCCTCAATAATCGAAGCTGGTGATAAGCTCTTGTGCCGTCGCACGCGATCACGTATCAACGTTGATTGAGCCTCAAGCTCACGTACGTTGCTCGGCGTACAAGCCTCCCAGGGAGCCTCTGGTAGAGCAGCTGGAGTAGGCGTACGGAGCTGCACGTCTAGCTTCGAGAGGACAGCGTCTGGCTGGAGAGGAACAAGGCCTGCGCCGCGAAAAGCTGAGCAGATATTAGCTGGCGTGAACGCTCGATCAAACGCTGTCTTAAACGCTGGCAGAAACTCGAGCTTGGTGATGTAGTTGATGTGGTGGCGGATTAGGCTCTCCACCTCACGACTGTACGCGCGCTTCAACGGCGAGAAGCAGCTAACGTCAAGAGGTTGAAGCAGGTGAGATAAGTAGGGTGGCATGCAGAGCGTGTAGATGTTGTTCTCCTTGCAGAGCTCTTGAAACTCAAGGGATTGGTGGCTCTCATGGCCGTCAAGGACGAGCAGGCGACGCGCACCAACCATGCGAGTCTTCGTGTAAGCGTTGAAGTGCTTTAGCCACTCTACTCCTAGCTTGTTGGTTGTCCAGCCATTGTCGCTGACTGCGATCGCCCAGTCGCGTGGGATCTCTGCTTCCTCGTACCAGGCAGACAGGTGATACTGGCCAGCAAAGATAAGGAATGGTGGGACTGACCAGCCAGCAGCGTTGATCGCAGCGATCAACGTTACCCACTCGCGATTACCAGGCTGGATAGCCTTTGGCCTACCTCTCCTCTCTGACGCTGTCACGACAAGCTAAGTCGTGATCTTGCCCATCATAAAGCCAGCTTCGTCAAAGTTGTAGACGTCATTATCGCAGATGCCGTACTTGGCCTTTGTCTGCTCTACGAGCTCAAACCAGGCGCTGATTAGGACTGGATCTTCGCACAGAGCTCTCTGCCTATCGTACGCTCGGTTGAAACACGTCGTGAGACTGTCTGTACGCTTGACGAAGTTGGCTGGCCACTTCTGTCCAACCTGGCCTGCGCCGCGCGCAGCGAGCAGCTTATCAGCCATATCACGTACAGCTGTGTACGTAGGTGAAAATCCACGTAGATCTAGATCAAGTATATAGCTAACAATTACCTGCTCCTCTAGCTGGGTGAGCTTCTTTGAGTTGGGCTGGCAATCGCGTCG